AAGTACACCGCTAGGGCGTTGGGGGAGACTGATTGTTATGCATGCTCCATTGGGCGACCGACAATTTTGACCGCCCCAATGCCAGAGGCAATGTTTCCCTGTGTATTAGACCTGGGGTCCAATCAAAAAGAACCCAATTGCACAGGGATTGGGCTAGCAAAGTTGACTTACTCGGCCAACTCACCTAGGTTCACTTTAACTCCTGGCGAATACCAGTGTTACAGACACACAAATGGCACCCGTAACTTGGGTGATTTTGATGGCTGTAAGGAGATAATTAATGTGACTGATTTAGATAGGGAAGGGGGGAAAAAAATTATGAACCTTACCATCCCTCTGACTGATGTGTGGTGGGCATGTACTAACAAAGGGAGCATTCGACAGACATTACCAGAAGGATGGGTGGTTCTTGTGCCCCAGTATTGTTGGTCCAACCTGTAAGAATTAGTCATCAAAGACCAGTAACAGGAAGAATAATCAGGAGGAGAAGAAATATAGGTCAGGAAGGAAATAGCCCAATTTGGATAGATGGTATAGGCATCCCCAGGGGTGTTCCAGACAAATACAAAGCTATGAATCAAATATGGGAGGGTTTTACCACAAGATTTTTCTGGTGGGTGACAATAAACAAGAATGTGGATTGGATTAATTATATCTATTACAACCAACAACGATTTATTAACCAGACTAGAGATGCAGTAAAGGGGATCTCCGAACAATTATCCGCCACCTCACTCATGACTTGGGAAAATCGGTTGGCTCTGGATATGTTGCTGGCAGAAAGGGGCGGAGTCTGTAAAATGGTGAGGGGCCATTGTTGCACATTTATCCCTAACAACACCACACCGGAGGGGACGGTCACCAGAGCTCTTGCAGGATTAACTGCTCTAAGTGAAGAATGGGCTGAAAACTCAGGAGTTAGTACATCTTGGACAGGGTGGTTTGATACAATGTTTGGTAAATGGAAAACCATAGCAGCCACCATCTTATGGGCAGTCAGCATTTGTAGGGGTATTCTTGTATTATGTGTTTGTTGTTTTGTTCCCTGTGTCCGAGGATTGGTGAACAAGGCGTTGGTGAATGCAGTATCTCACCAAATGTTGAGAGATGGACCGACTCCGGACTCTGACCAGGAGAGTGGGAAATACGACCCTCCAGGCTTGGGGGATAACGAGGACTTTGACCATGAAAGACCACAATTGGATGAAACGTTTATTTGTTCTGACGTATGAAGGTCATAGGGACAATCTTAAAAAAAAGACCTATGATTGGGAGTAGATAAATGGAACTAATCTCTAAAATTAATCATGCTTGTAAATACATTTATCCTGAGTGTGAAAACATTTAGTCAAAGGGTGGATTGATAGATTAATTTGTATTTTAAAAATAATGACTAAAAGATTTCACCCCAAATACAGTATAAATGTGTGAACGGTGTTATAGTTATAATGTAGTGTCAACCCACTAACAGAGAGGGGGGGGGGGGTTAGAAACTGCTGAGACAACATTCCAGGAGGAAGGAGACTTGGAAGTATTTAAACATTCTGTACTGTGGAATTATACAGACCGCCTAAATGTGGGCGGAGCAAAGTGCCTTTGTGTTAAGGGGTATAAAAGCTGTATATGTGTTTTTTGGTGGCAGAGCTCTCCATGATTAAACATACAGATCATTCTTGCTGGTTGTGGACCTTTGTTTAATTCATGATTAAACCAGAGCCTTACACCCTCTGGGAATTATTCAGAGCATTAAGTTTGATTAATTAGAGATATAAATTCTTGTGACACTAATTTTGTACATTTGCCCACTGACAAAGACATGATCAGTCTATCATTTTAATGGTAGGTTTATTTGAACAGTGAGAGACAGAATAACAACAAAGAAATCCAGAAAAACGCATGTCAAAAATGTTATAAATGGATTTGCATTTTAATGAGGGAAATAAGTATTTGACCACCTCTCAATCAGAAAGACTTCTGGCTCCCAGGTGTCTTTTATACAGGTAATGAACTGAGATTAGGAGCACACTCTTAAAGGGAGTGCTCTTAATCTCAGCTTGTTACCTGTATAAAAGACACCTGTCCAGAGAAGCAATCAATCAATCAGATTCCAAACTCTCCACCATGGCCAAGACCAAAGAGCTCTCCAAGGGAGTCAGGGACAATATTGTAGACCTACACAAGGCTGGAATGGGCTACAAGACCATCGCCAAGCAGCTTGGTGAGAAGGTGACAACAGTTGGTGCGATATTTCGCAAATGGAAGAAACACAAAATAACTGTCAATCTCTCTCGGCCTGGGGCTCCATGCAAGATCTCACCTCGTGGAGTTGCAATGATCATGAGAACGGTGAGGAATCAGCCCAGAACTACACGGGAGGATCTTGTCAATGATATCAAGGCAGCTGGGACCATAGTCACCAAGAAAACAATTGGTAACACACTATGCCGTGAAGGACTGAAATCCTGCAGCGCCCGCAAGGTCCCCCTGCTCAAGAAAACACATATACAGGGCCGTCTGAAGTTTGCCAATGAACATCTGAATGATTCAGAGGAGAACTGGGTGAAAGTATTGTGGTCAGATGAGACCAAAATCGAGCTCTTTGGCATCAACTCAATTCGCCGTGTTTGGAGGAGGAGGAATGTTGCCTATGACCCCAAGAACACCATCCCCGCCGTCAAACATGAAGGTGAAAACATTATGCTTTGGGGGTGTTTTTCTGCTAAGGGGACAGGACAACTTCACCGCATCAAAGGGACGATGGACGGGGCCATATACCGGTCAAATCTTGGGTGAGAACCTTCTTCCCTCAGCCAGGACATTGAAAATGGGTCATGGTTGGTATTCCAGCATGACAATGACCAAAAACATACGGCCATGGCAACAAAGAAGTGGCTCAAGAAGAAGCACATTAAGGTCCTGGAGTGGCCTAGCCAGTCTCCAGACCTTAATCCCATAGAAAATCTGTGGAGGGAGCTGAAGGTTCGAGTTGCCAAACATCAGCCTCGAAACCTTAATGACTTGGAGAAGTTCTGCAAAGAGGAGTGGGACAAAATCCCTCCTGAGATGTGTGCAAACCTGGTGGCCAACTACAAGAAATGTCTGACCTCTGTGATTGCCAACAAGGGTTTTGCCACCAAGTACTAAGTCATGTTTTGCAGAGGGGTCAAATACTTATTTCCCTCATTAAAATGCAAATCAATTCATAAAATTTTTGACATGTGTTTTTCTGGATTTTTGTTGTTGTTATTCTGTCTCTCACTGTTCAAATAAAGCTACCATTAAAATTAAAGACTGATATTTCTTTGTCAGTGGGCAAACGTACAAAATCAGCAGGGGATCAAATACTTTTTTCCCTCACTGTATGCCTTTTCTATTCCACATTTCAGTCAGGTAAATGCAGCATTTCTTTATCATGGTCTAATAGCAGGGATTCAGTTCATTTTGGGTGTCAGGATCCTTCGGTGCTCAGGATCCATCTGTCCACTACTGATGGCCTACGGGGAAGCGACCAACATGCATATCAAAGAGTATCTCTCCTCTCTCAGTAGCACAAGTTAGGGCAACAGTTAAGGCAACAGTGTTGTTTACATTAGACTTTTCCAGAGGCGGTCGTATGATGGCTTTTACAGGTTCTTCAGTCTGTAATACACTAAATGTTCCTTCCCTTTTATCTTGCATGAGCTCTTAAGTTCAGTTTGCATTATGGACACATATGTTAACCGTACTCTCATACGCCCCTAGATGAAAGAACTAGCATGGAACATCAGTCGTCATCACTAGAACTAACACTGCTTGTCCTCCCTATTTTATGTTATCCTACTTGTATACTGAGCATGAGAGGCACCTGGCGAACCTCTGTTCAACATTGATGCTGGCAATCAATGACAAGATACTGGAACTCATCATGGCTCTGGATCCTTCATCACCGCTGCTACTGCTTCTCAAATCGGTCCAGGATTCACCCTCAAGATCACGGGCCAATGATCCTCTTCTCCTACAACATTACATTTGATTTATTCTTTTTTCAAGGGGTCTGAATACTTTCCAGATGCACGGTCTATGTTTTATTGTCGTTAACACCGGATAGGTGCAGTTTAATATTTTGTTTTACAGGGTCAGCCGTAGTAGAACGGCACCCCTGGAGAAAATTAGGGTTAAGTGCCTTGCTCAAGGGCACATAGACATATTCTTCACCTTGTCGGCTCGGGTATTCAAACCAGCGACCTTTCGGTTACCGACCCAACGCTCTAACTGCTAGGCTACTTCTTGCATCATATAACACGATACAATGCAATTTTCAGTCACCTATTTGGCCAATTGTGTTACAGATCATTTCTTATTTTAATAAACTGATTTGAGCTTTTGGACATGTTAAAATGTTTGTCATAATGTGCATAATGTTTTAAAAAAGTCTCAGGGAATGTAGACCTAGATTGAACACTACATATTGGCTATTGTAGGCGATATCATAGAAGTCACCCACTATATCCATGTGTAAATGTTATGGCAGCTGCTCCATTAGTTTCCTCTGTAGCTCAGCTGGTAGAGCACGGCGCTTGTAACGCCAAGGTAGTGGGTTCGATCCCCGGGACCACCCATACACAAAAAATGTATGCACGCATGACTGTAAGTCGCTTTGGATAAAAGCGTCTGCTAAATGGTATATTATTATTTATTATTATTATTGTTGATAGGTCACTCTGGTAGACCTACGTTATGCTCAAATAGCCACAATAGAATATTGGCCACTGTCTGAAACTGTAACTTAAAGTGGGTACAGCCTCAGCGTTCACAGTTAACACGTGCCAGAAGTAGCACAGAATACTAGCTAAATTAAAGTTTCCGCTCACAAGACCTGAAATTTGCTCAGTGCTGGAAAAATGTGAGGGAACATTGGTGACGATAGCATTTTAGGTCAGTCAAGTTCAGGAAGTGAATTTCAATTCCTATTAGAGACAGGGAAAAATTTAACTATGCATGTAACCCCTAGCACTCTGTCCTTACCAGGCTGTGGAGGTCGGAAAGCTGTGTAGCGTGGGGCTCTGTGCCTCTCCTCTCTCTCCTCTGAGGCTGTGTCTGGGGTGGTGATGGTGGTGTGGTCCAGGGGGGTCCGTGCTTCTCTGCCTCTGGGACTGCTCTCCGTCCTGGGCTTGGGTCTGTGCGTGCCACTGGCTGCTTGCCTGCTTCAACCACCGACCACCCAGACCCCATTTTTCCAGATAGACCCGGCAGAGGTCATAGTTCATAGCTGAGTAGTAGAGAAAGTCTAAGGCAAGTAGTACCATGACAAAGAAACCATAGATCCATACGCCGATCAGAGCTGTGTAGTTACTGAGTGTAGGGGAGAAGGAAGAGAAGAGGGAAAAAGAGAGACAGAAATAATAAGTATTAGTCTAAAACCATCCCAGAGATCATTTGTCTCTCACACAGACGATTAGCAAACAGTTTGTATTTCCCTTTGTTATTGTGTTGCAATAAATCGAGTTCGAGGCTAATGCCCCTAATAAATGCAAAGTTTTAGGGATGTAGAAGATGCTCTCGGTTCTCAGATGGTGTAAATGGATTAACATTTGTATTTGCTTCAATCAATTGATCCAATTATAAGCAATGTCAGAGGTGTGTAAGATAGCCCAAGTCCTGTAATTGCATTTCATGGGTATAGGAGGAGATTGGTTTGGCAGGAAGAAGAGAGAAAAAAAGAGAGGGTCAGGAATTAGGAGAGAGAGAGAGAGAGAGAGAGAGAGAGATAGCTAGAGAGATAGAGAGAGAGAGAGAGAGAGAGAAGAGAGAGAGAGAGAAATAGGAGAGAGAGAGAGATCGGAGAGATAGAGATAGAGGAGAGATATAGAGAGAGAGAGAGAGAGAGAGAAGCAAATATGTTGAGCAGAGTGTGTGTAACAGGGTTTAAGAAAATTGTGGCTAAGGGGTCTTACATATATCCTCTACAGTTGGCCAAAGAGCTGAAGCTCTGTTTCATTGAGACCCAGAGCAGCCTAGTAGGATGAACCAGAGCCTACTGCGTAAACTGTGAAATGTCACTCTATGCCCTATATAGTGCACTACGTTTTACCAGGGTCCTGGAGTGTGAACTGTAAAATTGAATTTCTACGCTTACATCACACTGGAACCAACGCTAACTATAACTCTAACCTCAGCAAGCCATATAATTTATAGAATTATCTACATGCTCTGTCATTAATGTGATGCAGTAGACCTAGCTATATGCATTTTTGTTGATTAGAATTCATACATGCCTATCCAACATTACTCTACTCTCTTAACTGTCCCCTTGCCATACACCTTGAATAAAAAGGCCTATGAACTTTTTGGGGGAGTACTTTACTTTTACCAAGTACTCTCTCTAGACCTGTCTCAACACAATTAAGTCAATCTATATATCACACCTATCTCAATAAGACTGCAGAACTGGCTGGGTACAAGCACATCATTTAACCACAGAACACAACATAACAAATTAACTGGCATGACAATCCGTCTCATGGGAGGCCTAAAAGCACGCCCCAACAAGCCACGCATCCAAGCCTTCTAATAGGCTGCTGCCGCTACAATATAGTTTGTCAAGATGCTTTTTTTTTCTACTTGACACATACCAAAAGCAATGCATTTAAATGACTACAAAAACGACTAAAACAAAACATGAGACATTAATCGGTCATGTCTTTTCATGTGCATATGACAAATAAACAAATAAACTTGACGAGAGCATTGCAACCAATATCCAATGGGCAGAACTTAACGTGTACTGGGTCGTTCCACGAAATCAGTATATTTGATGTGTTAAGTAGAAATTATGCACCTGTATTGCATTTTAAAAGCCTGTTTCATGAAATGAATTGCCCTTTATTATAGACCACACGGAGAATTCAATAAATCAAATTTTCAATATGAATAAAGACTTGCTAAAGTGTCAAAATTCTGCATTTTGACATGCCCTTCCGTGCACCCTCTGTGACTTTTTTTCTGAAGATTATTATATATTTCTGATTAGTGATTAATTTACCTCTTACTCTTCCCAACCCGGCAGTATTTCTGAATTGCGGGTAAAAAAAAATCCAAAATGTTTGATATCCCCACTAGGAATTACATATCACATTCCAACAGGAATTACACATCACTTCGCAAGCCATCATAATGTGACTTGCAGGCCTGATAACCTTAAGTTTCAGGCCACTGTATTAGGGTAAAATTAGGCCCTCAAAATAAGGCCTTAATAAATGCTAGTTATATTATGTTTAATAATTGTATTTTAAAGAAACATATTTGCTTACGATTTCACTTGGTGAAGGCCACAGGACTGAAAATGGATGAATGCAACAACCATGTCTCTGTCACAATAAAATACAGTCGTGGGTGGTACAATTCACTCAAAAGGCAAGGCACCCTGGGAAATATGCAAATAAGGCTTTACACTAAGCAGTGTGTTAATTCAACACTGAAAAGTGTGGACCCGTATAGATACTGGACCAATTTAAATGTAACACTGTCAGTGTTGATTTAACACTGGAGAATTTTCTGTGTATATGATTATAGTTTACACAAAGGGATATATGCTAAGGCGATGTCCGGCAGTATGCTGATACAAATTCCATTTCCCCTCAACACTTCTCAATACTTATTACGTCTGTATCCCAAATATAAGACTATTCCCTACTTTTGACCAGAGCCCTATGGGTGCCATTTGGGACGCATCATAAGAGTTTATATTTGGTTATTTGAGTACTCAGACTCCTCAGCATGTGTAGCTGTCTGCTCCTTAGGATACTGTAGGATACTGTAGTAGTCGGCACACTCCTGGCCAAAGTATTACATTCTTAATGTTAGACTAGAGTATTCCTCTTGAGCAGCCTAAAGGGCACTGCAGGGACAAAGTGCGGCTGCGTTGGATATGGGTTTGGGTTCAGTCCACCCAAAAAGCTTTTACTTTCTCATTTGTACACACTGCAAACCTCTTCAGAGGAAACTTTCCAAAAGGTATGTTACAGAGTCTGCAAGCCTTGTTATATTCATCATCTCTAGCACCACCCCAACATCAACTGCGTTTCTATGTTTTGTGGGAAAAAGATAGAGGGAGATAAGTGTTTCCAATGACATCATCGGTGTGCTTCATGTGATTTTAACCAATTATGAGTAGGCATTGCCTACTAATTGCCTAATAACAGTCTACTAATAGGTTGATGATGTCATTGGAAACACTTATTTTCCTCTATCTTGTTTTACTACAAAACATAGAAACGTACCGTTTCCATATACGTTGATGTTGGGGTGGTGCTGGAGAGGATGTTGAAACATTTTGAAATGTCCCTTTAACCATTGCACATAGATTATAGGCCACTTGTACACTACCAGCCTTTTTAGAAGAACTTCTAAGGAAATGTTACAGAATCAGTCTTGTCAACGATTCCACTTATAGAGAGGACTTCTGCATTACAAACTAAAGTAATGAAACACAAATGTGTGAATGAATGCAGCACATCTGCTCCACTGTTGACTCTGGACTCACTTGTGTGAGAAGCCATCAGAGCTGGTGGTGAGGTTGAGCTGCATGAAGTTCTGGAACTCTGTCTCATTGCAGCAGTACTTGAAGGCAGTGTTGTTATGATGACAGCAGAACATGTAGGTCTTGTTGTCCGAGAGACGCGGGCAGTGGAACCCAAAGTGGTAGCGCCCCTTGTGGTCGGAGTATGGCTCGCACACCCGGAAGTGTGCGGAGAGAGCTGTGGAGAAAAACACAGAATCAAATTATGTTGAATGATGTTGTGGCAACATGTCTAACTTTTTGTAGAATGGTAGTGATGTGATAAGCAACAGACTCATGACAGATACCCATCACTGCATCCTGTGTCAAAAGGTTGGCTGGACTTTCCTAAAGACCTGTAGATCTCTACATTACTCCCTTCTTGTTTACAAGGCCCTACTTCATAAACTTCTAATTTTGCTGTTGAAGTATACAACTTGAGTTGCCTAACCGGTTCACATGATTGGTTCACTCAAGGTTCCTAGGGTCTCCACCGAGCTAGGTAAATCTGCTTTTAGTTTTAATGCATCATATTGCTGGAACATAATTCAAAATACATTTCATCTTGATGTTTTGGTGCCGTTCGGGCAATTTAAAGTATTGATTGGGGACTTATTTGTGGCGGAATGTAGCTGTTTTTCTGTGTGATTTGTGATGTTTTATTTTGTGCTTCCCATGACTGTATTTTTGTATTTTAATGTGTGTGCAGTGGCGACCCATCATTCAGGTGGGGTTGCCTGTTTTGCATGTTATTTTGGCATTAATACGTGTCACATATCAGTTTGCAAACAATGTAAAATAAAATAAAAAATCATTGAGTTAATAAAGCCTCCATACAAACACGGTCTCTTTTGTGCTTTCTTGAGTAAGGCAGCTCCAAAATGCAGGTGCTTTCTGTGTTCTCTAGTTGCGCCTTGATTGGCTCAGTGTTCTGTCACTCATGGGGAAACTACGTCACTGCCAAATCTACAGGTAGAGCTAAAAAATTCAAGCCCTTTGGGTGCTGCAATAGAGTTACATTAGAAGTGCCCATCCAAGAAGGCTCAAGGACATTGGCCACAGATAAAATGACGTCAAATCACGTTATATCTACAGTAGTTTTGATTGGACTGATCATGTCAACATCATACTTTCAAAATCTTAGCTAGCAGTCATCATCAAGTCCACAATCTACTGGCAAATCCTTTTTAATCCTTGTCATATGAAGAGAAATAATGAAGAGAAATTATAGACCGTATCGGTGCTCATCGGCCATTGGACATAAACATTACACAACAAGTTGGAAATTGCAAATTCAACAATGAGTGGTTTGAAAGGAATCAGTGGCTTACTAACTGCAAGCGTTGTAAAGCAATCACTAGCCTGCTATTCAGTGGAGTGGGTGTGTGGTCCCAATTCTGGGTTTACAGGTCACTTTTCCAAGCGTAAAATTATAAACATTCAACATTGGCCATGCTGTCAATCCAGCATGATTTCTGCCACGCTCAAAACAACTGTTAACTCAGAACTGGGAAATCTGACTTCAGTGAGTTCAAGACAACTGGGAAGTTGGGAAAAAACGAGCTCCGACTGGGAAAATACGTTTTGAAAGGTCATCCAACTCGGAATTGTAAATCGGGAACTCGGGCCTCTTTCTAGAGCTAAGACCTGAAGATCACTGACGTCATCATGATTCGCCCTTGTTTTTTTCAGAGTTCCCAGTTGTCTTGAAAGCACCATAAATCCAGAGAATGCCAGACTTTGATGACAAAGTTTGATGACAGAATTTGCCCACAAGAAGGACCGCCACGACACATTCCTGTTCAAGTGAGCACAGCACAACAAGGTGAGTCCAAAAATGTATTGTACACTGCTGCATAAATGATGTAATATGCCAGAGAGATATGTATACTGTAGCTAAGAAAGTAATACAAAGGGTATGTTGTGGAGTAAACTGTTAGGTGCCTCATCCTTGTAATTTGGTCTATTTTCCCCTCTTAATTTTGCCTTCTGTTCGGACTTGGTGGTGCACATGTAGCCTATAGCCTGTTTTGGAGAAATGTAATCATTGAATATTGTAAGAGCTTTCATTGTCTGTTTATATGTCCCCTTTATTTATCCTACGGTTCTGACTTGGTGTACAGGGAGAACACTGTAAGAACGGCCCATGTTCTGAATTCTGTCGCTGTACATTTCAAAAGTGCTAAACAAATAGTTAAACTGACTACATCTGTCCTAGCTCGCTTATTAATGTCTTAATCAAATTTACGGGTTGCCTCTTATCCACTTGTCGTCCCATTATGCCATAGTTTATACACCTCAATTGTCAGTAGAAACCACGTTTGTTTAAGCAAGTCAGCCATATCAGCTATGTTTTTTTTTAAAGGAAGTAAATGAGGCTGAATGAACTGTTTCGCTGCCAGACAAGGCTCTGCTGATAGCCAGGTGTAGATATGGTAAGGTGTTGGGGCTGCTGTTGGGACTCTGCTGTTCGGACAGCTTTATGTAGGCCCTAACAGTTTGTGGGCACCGCCAGTCACCGTAATATTGCAATTAATGTATTGTTTAGTGTTGTGTTGTGTAGTGGCTTTGCTGGCATGCATCCCCCTAATTTTTTGTTTGTTTGCCCCACCAACATTTACATGCTAAAATCAGCACTGTGTGTGTGTGTATGTATATACAGTTAAAGTCGGAAGTTTACATACACCTTAGCCAAATAAATTTCAACTCAGTTTTTCACAATTCCTGACATTTAATCCAAGTAAGAATTCCCTGTCTTAGGTCAGTTAGGATCACCACTTTATTTTAAGAATGTGAAATGTCAGAATAATAGTAGAGAGAATTATTTATTTCAGCTTTTATTTATTTCATCACATTCCCAGTGTGTCAGAAGTTTACATACACTCAATTAGTATTTGGTAGCATTGCCTTAAAATTGTTTAACCTGGGTCAAACGTTTCGGGTAGCCTTCCACAATTTTCCCACAATAAGTTGGGTGAATTTTGGCCCATTCCTCCTGACAGAGCTGGTGTAACGGAGTCAGGTTTGTAGGCCTCCTTGCTCGCACACACTTTTTCAGTTCTGCCCACAGATTTTCTATAGGATTGAGGTCAGGACTTTGTGATGGCCACTCCAATACCTTGACTTTGTTGTCCTGAAGCCATTTTGACACAACTTTGGAAGTATGCTTGGGGTCATTGTTCATTTGGAAGACCCATTTGCGACCAAGCTTAAACTTTCTGATTGATGTTTTGAGATGTTGCTTCAATATATCCACATAAGTTTCCTTCCTCATAATGCCATCTATTTTGTGAAGTGCACCATTCCCTCCTGCAGCAAAGCACCCCCACAGCATGATGCTGCCACCCCCGTGCTTCACGGTTGGGATGGTGTTCTTCCTTCCAAGCAACCACCTTTTTCCTCCAAACATAACGATGGTCATTATGGCCAAACAGTTCTATTTTTGTTTAATCAGACCAGAGGACATTTCTCCAAAAAGTACGATCTTTGTCCTCATGTGCAGTTGCAAGCCGTAGTCTGGCTTTTTTATGGCGGTTTTAGAGCTGTGGCTCGATATAGGACTTTTTTTCTGTGGATATAGATACTTTTGTACCTGTTTCCTCCAGCATCTTCACAAGGTCCTTTGCTGTTGTTCTGGGATTTATTTGCACTTCTCAAACCAAAGTACGTTCATCTCTAGGAGACATAACGCGTCTCCTTCCTGAGTGGTATGACGCGTGGTCCCATAGGGTTTATACTTACGTACTATTGTTTGTACAGATGAACGTGGTACCTTAAGGTGTTTGGAAATTGCTCCCAAGGATGAGCCAGACTTGTGGAGGTCTACAAATTTTTTCTGAGGTCTTGCCTGATTTCTTTTGATTTTCTCATGATGTCAAGCAAAGAGGCACTGATTTTGAAGGTAGGCATTGAAATACATCCACAGGTACACCTCCAATTGACTCAAATTATGTCAATTAGCCTATCAGAAGCTTCTAAAGCCATGACACCATTTTCTGGAATTTTCCAAGCTGTTTAAAGGCACAGTCAACTTAGTGTATGTAAACTTCTGACCCACTGGAATTGTGATACGGTGAATTATAAGTGAAATAATCTGTCTGTAAACAATTGTTGGAAAAATTACTTGTGTCATGCACAAAATAGATGTTATGGATGATTCTCTAGTACATATGTTGTAGAATGAAACACCTACAGAGGGGAGAACAAGTATTTGATACACTGCCGATTTTGCAGGTTTTCCTACTTACAAAGCATGTAGAGGTCTGTAATTTTTATCATAGGTACACTTCAACTGTGAGAGACGGAATCTAAAACAAAAATCCAGAAAATCACATTGTATGATTTTTAAGTAATTAATTTGCATTTTATTGCATGACATAAGTATTTGATCACCTACCAACCAGTAAGAAATCCGTCTCTCACAGACCTGTTAGTTTTTCTTTAAGAAGCCCTCCTGTTCTCCACTCATTACCTGTATTAACTGCACCTGTTTGAACTTGTTACCTGTATAAAAGACACCTGTCCACACACTCAATCAAACAGACTCCAACCTCGACACAATGGCCAAGACCAGAGAGCTGTGTAAGGACATCAGGGATAAAATTGTAGACCTGCACAAGGCTGGGATGGGCTACAGGACAATAGGCAAGCAGCTTGGTGAGAAGGCAACAACTGTTGGCACAATTATTAGAAAATGGAAGAAGTTCAAGATGACGGTCAATCACCCTCGGTCTGTGGCTCCATGCAAGATCTCACCTCGTGGGGCATCAATGATCATGATGAAGGTGAGGGATCAGCCCAGAACTACATGGCAGGACCTGGTCAATGACCTGAAGAGAGCTGGGACCACAGTCTCAAAGAAAACCATTAGTAACACACTACGCCGTCATGGATTAAAATCCTGCAGTGCACGCAAGGTCCCCCTGCTCAAGCCAGCGCATGTCCAGGCCCGTCTGAAGTTTGCCAATGACCATCTGGATGATCCAGAGGAGGAATGGAAGAAGGTAATGTGGTCTGATGAGACAAAAACAGAGCTTTTTGGTCTAAACTCCACTCGCCGTGTTTGGAGGAAGAAGAAGGATGAGTACAACCCCAAGAACACCATCCCAACCGTGAAGCATGGATGTGGAAACATCATTCTTTGGGGATGCTTTTCTGCAAAGGGGACAGGACGACTGCACCGTATTGAGGGGAGGATGGATGGGGCCATGTATCGCGAGATCTTGGCCAACAACCTCCTTCCCTCAGTAAGAGCATTGAAGATGGGTCGTGGCTGGGTCTTCCGGCATGACAACGACCCGAAACACACAGCCAGGGCAACTAAGGAGTGGCTCCGTAAGAAGCATCTCAATGTCCTGGAGTGGCCTAGCCAGTCTCCAGACCTGAACCCAATAGAGAATCTTTGTAGGGAGCTGAAAGTACGTATTGCCCAGCGACAGCCCCGAAACCTGAAGGATCTGGAGAAGGTCTGTATGGAGGAGTGGGCCAAAATCCCTGCTGCAGTGTATGCAAACCTGGTCAAGACCTACAGGAAACGTATGATCTCTGTAATTGCAAACAAAGGTTTCTGTACCAAACAATAAGTTCTGCTTTTCTGATGTATCAAATACTTATGTCATGCAATAAAAGGCAAATTAATTACTTAAAAATCATACAATGTGATTTTCTGGATTTTTGTTTTAGATTCCGTCTCTCACAGTTGAAGTGTACTTATGATTTTTTTTATTTTTTTTATTTCACCTTTATTTAACCAGGTAAGCCAGTTGAGAACAGGTTCTCATTTACAACTGCGACCTGGCAGTTGTAACAGACCTCTACATGCTTTGTAAGTAGGAAAACCTGCAAAATCGGCAGTGTATCAAATACTTGTTCTCCCCACTGTATATGACTTAAATCAGGGTTCTTCAATTCCGGTCCTGGAGGGCCGAAACACCTCTGTTTTTCATCCTCTCCTTCTAATCAGGGGCTAATTCAGACCTGGGATACCAGGTGAGTGCAATTAACTACCAGGTAGAAATAAAAAACAGAAGTGTTTCGGCCCTCCAGGACCGGAATTGAAGAACCCTGCCTTAAATGCTTATGGATTAAGAACCAATTAAAGGGTTAAAACAGAGCAGATACATTTCTTTAGTGCAAATGCTGTGCTTCTGATAACTCCCCGCAGCAGGTCTGGGTACGTCAATGATATGTGATGGAGATACAACTCCTCGTGGTGGCTGTGTTGAGATTGGAGTAACAATGGAACTAGTGTTATCATTTGTTTGTGCTTATGACCTGACACATAGACACATGCACATAATCTCAAGGGTCAGGGAGGATGGCTGTTGGTAAATGCTTAAATATATGTGGTTGAGAATGGGTTACGGAAGACATGTTTAAACCATGTTTAAGTATTAATTGATATGTTTTATAATGTGTTATGAAATGATAAAGGTAAAACAGAATGAACATGATTGATACTTTGTACTCCAGATGCATGTCTGGATAGTGAATATAGCCAATACAGAGTGTGATTGTTCTTTAACGTACATATGTACATAATTTTTTGAGTCACGCCACTAATAAGAGACAGAGGCCCTATTTAGAGAAGCGCAAGTAGCCCTCGTGAGTAAAACAACATGTGGCACTGAGAGAAGTTAATCATTTGCCTTAAGGGTGTAACTGTATATTCTATGTAAGCATGACTATGCATTTGTATGTGTATAAAAGGAGATCTTTAAGCCAAGGAGAGGCAGTTGTTCCATGGAGCAGCTCGGCTTTGTTACGCAATAATATAGTCACATTTTTGGATTCACAAGCTCCAGTTTCTTGAGAGATATTTTTGAGTTGACTACTTTTGAGTCAAATATTTCTACGACAATGTCCTAACCGACTTGCTAAAACTATAGTTTGTTAATAAGACATTTTGGAGTGGTTGAAAAACAAGTTTTAATAACTCCAACCTAAGTGTATGTAAACTTCCGACTTCAATTGTATATATATATATATATATATATATATATATATATATATATATATATATATATATATATATATATATATTTGGGTATAATTTGTATATTTATGTTGTATTATGCAGGGCACATATGTAAAAGAGTCCTAGGTTTCAATATGTCTTCCTTGTTAAAATAAAGGTAAAAAAGTATTTACAAAATCTACTCAATCACCATTGAGATAGCAGAGGAACGGATCTGATTGCATTGACTGCATCTTGGCTGACTTCAATGCTGAACTCCTATCTCTTACCAATGAATGGCCATAGAGCAACTGCTGGGTGGTCACATATCATATACCAACAGTATGACATACAGGTAGACAGAGGGAGTGGAGCAGAGTGTGTGTGTGTGTGTGTATGAGTGTGTGTGTGTTTGTGTGTGATAATGAGGGATGACAGAAGTGCACAGACAGCAGAACAGCAGAACGCTTTGATGCATGCAGTACATTGTAAAAAAAATCCTGTTGTTTTTACGATAACTTACTGGCAGCCAGTTACCTGTAAGTTACTGTAAAAAAAGGTACAGTATGTTACCTTAAATTCCAAAGAAATGTACTGTTCAACCAAAGTTTTTTGGAATTACGGTAATATGATGTACCTTTTTTTACAGTAATTTACAGGTAACTTGCTGCCAGTAAGTTACTGTAAAAACAACATATATTTTTTACAGTGTAATGATGAGCTGGGCTTGTCATTTTACAGAACTATGTTTCTGCTGTGTTTGCTGCTAGTGTTTGGTGCATCATATCATATAGCTATACGCAGCAACGTCATATTGTACTGCAAATGTAATCTTGCGTTCCCAAAAGCAAGGGATATGTAGTCACTGGACTAAGGACTACAAGTTGAATTTGTGATGTTTTATGTGTGACCGTGTTTTTGTATTTTAATGTGTATATATATTTGTGTATAACATGTATTTTTATATTATATTATAAAGGGCACATTTGGAAAAGAGACCTAGGTCTCAATATGTATTCCCTGTCAAAAGAAAGGTTAAAATAAAAATAAAATAAACACTTTCCAAATGGTAAACAAGTCAAACTTCTAAAACAATAAGCCCACATCAGCAATCAGGTGTGAAGACGGGAAGCCAACTATACTTCAAAAGTTCTGTTTCTTTCACAAACCCCCCAAGAAGCCTTTAAAGTTCAGTGATTAGCTCACCGCCTTACCCAAACCTGGTATCTCCTTCTTCATCTGTTAGTCTCAGATGTTCTCTGCAACCAATTCATACCTGGCTAAAGAAGCAGCTAAATGAGGCCAGGCTGTCATTTGCATATAGATGAGGAGGCTGGTTTGCAGAGAGGAGATTTTAGGCAATTATTGTGTTATCGCAAGAAGTTTAGGTTGAAGACAAGGCTATACACAAGCCACTGCAAGATTAGTCTCTTCTCACAGCTGCTGTATCTCCGCGTGCAGAGTGCCCTGAGTCTATCGAGGAAGATTACTGCAAGAGTCTGGCTATAGTCAAGAAGTTTAGAAGGTGGTACGTCTTTGTACCATTTCAACAGGTGTCATTTAATGTCAGAATAGTTGAATTGAGATTGAACGTGAATTCCAATTCAAGCCAAACTAGCTGCTAATACAGGAAACCGTTTAATATGACCCTGTATGAGTAACCACAAACCCTAATCACCAGTTAGCATGGGCACAAAGACAGAGAGAGAACTGTAATAGCCAAAATAAATCAGAATTGTCAGAGATTAAGCCAAAAAACTCTCAAAGTCCTACCTTTGCCCTCATAAAAAGCTCCTAAATTACAATTAAAGTTATTTGGCAGTATTCAAATATGGTATCCTTTAACCAAGAAGGCAAAACGTCAAGGAATAAAATGCAAGTATTTGCAAGACAAGAGAAGAAAAGTACAAAAAGAAAGAAAAGGTCTTTAGGATATGAAATGAAAAGCACCTGTTTTTTCCAGCACCGCAGTATAATTATAATGTCTCAATTTTGTCCGTTGCTTGTTGTTGTTAACATCTTGTACGTTTTTAGGATAATAGTAAACGGTCTTGATGCTGGTTCACATTTGTTTCACTACCTATACAGTGAGGGAAAAATGTATTTGATCCCCTGCTGATTTTGTACGTTTGCCCACTGACAAAGAGATGATCAGTCAATAATTTTAATGGTAGGTTTATTTGAACAGTGAGAGACAGAATAACAACAAATAAATCCAGAAAAACGTGTCGAAAATGTTATAAATTGATTTGCATTTTAATGAGGTAAATAAATATTTGACCCCCTCTCAATCATAAAGATTTCTGGCTCCCAGGTGTCTTTTATACAGGTAACGAGCTGAGATTAGGAGCACACTCTTAAAGGGAGTGCTCCTAATCTCAGTTTGTTACCTGTATAAAAGACACCTGTCCACAGAAGCAATCAATCAGATTCCAAACTCTCCACAATGTACAAGATCAAAGAGCTCTCCAAGGATGTCAGGGACAAGATTGTAGACCTACACAAGGCTGGAATGGACTACAAGACCATCGCCAAGCAGCTTGGTGAGAAGGTGACAACAGTTGGTGCGAGTATTCGCAAATGGAAGAAACACAAAAGACCTGTCAATCTCCCTCAGCCTGGGGCTCCATGCAAGATCTCACCTCGTGGAGTTGTAATGATCATGAGAGCGGTGAGGAATCAGCCCAGAACTACACGGGAGGATCTTGTGAATGATCTCAAGGCAGCTGTGACCATAGTCACCAAGAAAACAATTGGTAACACACTATGCTGTGAAGGACTGAAATCCTGCAGCGCCCGCAAGGTCCCCCTGTTCAAGAAAGCACATATACAGTGAGGGAAAAAAGGTATTTGATCCCCTGCTGATTTTGTAAGTTTGCACACTGACAATGACATGATCAGTCTATAATTTTAATGGTATGTTTATTTGAACAGTGAGAGACAGAATAACAACAAAACAATCCTGAAAAACGCATGTCAAAAATTTTATGAATTGATTTGCATTTTAATGAGGGAAATAAGTATTTGACCCCTCTGCAAAACATGACTTAGTACTTGGTGGAAAAACCCTTGCAATCACAGAGGTCAGACGTTTCTTGTAGTTGGCCACCAGGTTTGCACACATCTCAGGAGGGATTCTGTTCCACTCCTCTTTGCAGATATTCTCCAAGTCATTAAGGTTTCGAGGCTGACGTTTGGCAACTTGAACCTTCAGCTCCCGACACAGATTCTCTATGGGATTAAGGTCTGGAGACTGGCTAGGCCACTTCTTTGTGTGCTTCTTCTTGAGCCACTCCTTTGTTGCCTTGGCCGTGTGTTTTGGGTCATTGTCATGCTGGAATACCCATCCATGACCCATTTTCAATGCCCTGGCTGAGGGAAGGAGGTTCTCACCCAAGAGTTGATGGTACATGGCCCTGTCCATCGTCCCTTTGATGCGGTGAAGTTGTCCTGTACCCTTTGCAGAAAAACACCCCCAAAGCATAATGTTTCCACCTCCATGTTTGACGGTGGGGATGGTGTTCTTGGGGTCATAGGCAGCATTCCTCCTCCTCCAAACACGGCGAGTTGAGTTGATGCCAAAGAGCTCGATTTTGGTCTCATCTGACCACAACACTGTCACCCAGTTCTCCTCTGAATCATTCAGATGTTCATTGGCAAACTTCAGACGGCCCTGTATATGTGCTTTCTTGAGCAGGGGGACCTTGCGGGTGCTGCAGGATTTCAGTCCTTCACGGCATAGTGTGTTACCAATTGTTTTCTTGGTGACTATGGTCCCAGCTACCTTGAGATCATTGACAAGATCCTCCCGTGTAGTTCTGGGCTGATTCCTCACCGTTCTCATAATCAAATCAAATCAAATCAAATTTTATTGGTCACATGCGCCGAATACAACAGGTGCAGACATTACAGTGAAATGCTTACTTACAGCCCCTAACCAACAGTGCATTTATTTTAAACAAAAAAAGTAAAAATAAAACAACAACAAAAAAAAGTGTTGAGAAAAAAAAGAGCAGAAGTAAAATAAAGTGACAGTAGGGAGGCTATATATACAGCGGGGTACCGTTGCAGAGTCAATGTGCGGGGGCACCGGCTAGTTGAGGTAGTTGAGGTAATCATTGCAACTCCACGATGTGAGATCTTGTATGGAGCCCCAGGCCGAGGGAGATTGACAGTCTTTTGTGTTTCTTCCATTTGCAAATAATCGCACCAACTGTTGTCACCTTCTCACCAGCTGCTTGGTGATGGTCTTGTAGCCCATTCCAGCCTTGTGTAGGTCTACAATCTTGTCCCTGACATCCTTGGAGAGCTCTTTGGTTGAGAACCTCCTTCCCTCAGCCAGGGCATTGAAAATGGGTCGTGGATGGGTATTCCAGCATGACAATGACCCAAAACACACGGCCAAGGCAACAAAGGAGTGGCTCAAGAAGAAGCACATTAAGGTCCTGGAGTGGCATAGCCAGTCTCCAGACCTTAATCCCATAGAAAATCTGTGGAGGGAGCTGAAGGTTCGAGTTGCCAAACGTCAGCCTCGAAACCTTAATGACTTGTAGAAGATCTGCAAAGAGGAGTGGAACAGAATCCCTCCTGAGATGTGTGCAAACCTGGTGGCCAACTACAAGAAACGTCTGACCTCTGTGATTGCCAACAAGGGTTTAGCCACCAAGTACTAAGTCATGTTTTGCAGAGGGGTCAAATACTTATTTCCCTCATTAAAATGCAAATCAATTTCTAACATTTTTGACATGTGTTTTTCTGGATTTTTTTATTGTTATTCTGTCTCTCACTGTTCAAATAAACCTACCATTCAAATTATAGACTGATCATGTCTTTGTCAGTGGGCAAACATACAAAATCAGCAGGGGATCAAATACTTTTTTCCCTCACTGTATATATTTTTATGAAAAACAATCTATTAACATGTTTTTGAACACTGTAATTTATTTACAAGCATGATAGCTGTACTTTTAGTTCATGGTTGATGCAGCTTGTTGGTCATTAGCCAATGGCACGTGAATACCTCCAACTGGTATTTACGACTACACAACTGGTAATTAACACTTTGTTATGAACGCAGCATTAATAACCAGAGCTCAACAAATACCACGCCCATCATTATCATATTTCCCAGCATGCTCTATAGCAGGTTGATTTTTTAAAATAGTTTGTTTCAATGTTTTTGCATGTCCAATGATTAATGAATTAATCTTATGCTACACAAATATAAATGAAATACTGTACGTTTTTCTAAACTAATCCAATCTGTTAGTTGGACCTATCACACCCATTACTGAAATGGTTGTTCCAGTTTAGATGGTTTAGGCCTGTAGTGATGGGAAGTTCAACTCTTTTTACTGACTCTGATCTTTTCAACTCGTTCAGTCAACAGAACAAATCTTTTGACTCAATTTGTTCATTTGATTCAGTAATGCCCAGAGCATGCAAGACACCCTACCGGCAAAAGATTAACGAGAAAGACTAATTTGTGACTGAGACAAAAGTGTACATTGCTAGGCATACAAATATGATTTTTTCTTGATATCTTTGAAACAAGGTCTAGTTGAGGCTGCAACCGGACTTGATTGTGAATGACTCTTTGTGGAATGACCCGACTGCTGTGAGGGAGAGAAGCATATACTGTATTGTTTGCAAACTGCAGCAGCTCCCCAAATGATTTGTTCTCGAGTTCGAGTTTGTTAAGCAGAGGCAGGCTGCGTAGGCTATGCTTTGGTTGTACAACGCTGTGTCAATTGAAAACTTTCTATTTTCAATTAATGACATTCATTCTTGCACCATGAGCTCAATTATCAGTTCTAAGCATGTATTTGTCTTCTCTATGCTGCAAGCAGCATGATCTATTTTCCTGCTTGAACATTTGATAGATAGATGAGTTGGCAGTCGGATTAGTCTCTGGAGCCGATGAGCCGGAGAAGCGCATATTAATCCTGCTAAAGGATTCATTGCAACTGGCAGGTGAAACTAACTAAAATGAACGAGTCACTCTGAAAAATGTATCATGACTCTCGAGTAAGTAAAAACAGTTGTTTAAATATAACAAATTGTTTGCAAACTGCACATCACTAGTGGCCTGTAAACCACGAGTTTCAGCCCACTGTATTAGGGTAAAACTAGGCACTCAAAATAAGAGCGTGATCTGACCTGCGGTGGAGAGCAGAAGGAAGATGACCACCAGGACGTTGAAGGACCAGCGGTGATACATTATCATCTCTGGATCCACATGGATGGGCAGCAGGGGGGACAGCTCTGGGGTAAAGTAGAGTAGAGTAGAGCAGAGTGGAGTGGAGTGGAGTGGAGTGGAATAGAGTGGATCTGGGCAGCAGATCACGGCTGTTAAAGAGGGTCTAGCTTGCCTCAGGCAGCGAGCTCCGCCTCCTGCCCTCTCTTGTCATGGCTGCAGGGTGCAGGACGGTCCGGGTGATGCCTATAGAGGAACACAGAGGTCATCGTTCACACGAGTTACCTCACAGATCTCCTGAAACTGACAAACAATGGTTCACCCCAAAAAGATTAGCTGTAACCCACCTAAAGACATTCTATGTGTCTAGTGACAACACCATGTTATCAGCCCAAGAAGAGAGGTCCTGCTCACCTTACAAGGCAGGATCAGTGGTAACTGAATGAGAGCCAGGGAACACAGACAAAAAGTATCATCCAGAAAAGAAAGATACAGATAGTTTTGAGATGTCAGCCCTACCCCAGCCAGTGCAGCGCCAGCGAGGACCCAGTATTGAGCTGCTGCTGAGTACCTGCTGGTAAATAACACGTCTGTGTGACTGTCTCAGGCAGAAATCCATCTGGTTACAGTTTTTCTCATTCACATACAGGCATTTCTTTGAAACAATGCTGTTGATTTTCAGAACAGAGTCCTCAAGACACAGAACTCTGTGGCCTTTTGCAAAACAGTAAATGTGTTTTCAGATTGTAGTTGCCTTCTCAAAACATAAATACATTAATCAAACTATACTATACCATCAAAATTGCAAATACATTCATCAAATGAAACTCGACTGCCTGCTAAAGATTAACGCAACCATAATAATCTCTTGAGTCCAAGCAGACAAAACAGAATGTTAGTCTGTCTTCTAAAAATCCCAGTAAAACTATACATTTTCTTTGCAGTCACTAAATCATGATGATCAAAACTAGAAGTACAACTATCCAAAGGTGCAGAATTATGGGCAATCACAATCCAATTCCATGTATTCAATACAAAGGTTGGTTTTCTCATAGTTTTGTAGACTTTCCATTGACGCACAGAAACACAATCCACAATAGAAATAAGGAAAGGTGAATACAATGGAGGACCACAACTGATAAGAATGTACAGTATAGGCCTAAATCCACACCAAAAAAAAGCTCCATAATGGAAGGTCCCAATGTTGTAGATCATGACTTAGGAGTAACCCAAAGTAACGTAGAAGTAACCCAACTTCATTCTCTGCAGTTTAGTAGGGGCGTGGTATTCAGATAGTTATTTGTAGCCACCCATTAGAGTAAATGTAATTCCTGTTCATGTGTTCTGTTGCATAGTTATTACACGTTAAGGTTGAATGTTGAAATGTTTGTAACTTCAATGATGCATATAGAAGTGTATGAGTTCCCTAAAAGCCTATGTAAACCCCATTAGGTGGTATGCTTTATTATAATATGTAATAAATAATCTTAATATTATACAAGTATGTGTAAAACATTTGTTTCTGGAATTGCAGTATGTAAATTTGATGAACAGGAATGACATTTTCTCTCATGGGTGGCCAATAAGATCTACATCAAAGACAAGCCCCTAATAAGCCACACCTCCTGAAAAAAACCTAAGGATTATATTCAAAAAGACCCAGCTACTAGGTCAATCAAGCATGAGAGTAAAAAATACCCAACTGATGGGTAATCCCAATGGGTTATTCATGCAACTCAACTGGCTGGGTCAAAATAGCTTTGCGGATGTGGATATCGAATACAGAGACGTTATTTTCTTGGGAAATTGTTCTCTTCGGGCCCTAGAAACCGAACATATCTCCAACGTTTATGTACGTTCTCTTGTCTGTCTTTCCCCCTCCCTATTTGTCCCATAGCAGTAGAGTCCGTTAGAGGGGTTGGCAGAGTAGAACAGGGCCAAGGGTGGGTCCCATATTGTGTGCAGCACCAGAGCGAGATTGTAGTGCCTTTCACCATATTGTTTGCAGTGCCTTCCCTGAGAATAACTATCTTGTTGCAGTGCCATGTCAGAATAATTCTGTGTGCAGTGTCACTTTTGCATGCCCGATAATACACTGCTCAAAAAAATAAAGGGAACACTTAAACAACACAATGTAACTCCAAGTCAATCACACTTCTGTGAAATCAAACTGTCCACTTAGGAAGCAACATTGATTGACAATAAATGTCACATGCTGTTGTGCAAATGGAATAGACAACAGGTGGAAATTATAGGCAATTAGCAAGACACCCCCAATAAAGGACTGGTTTTGCAGGTGGTGACCACAGACCACTTCTCAGTTCCTATGCTTCCTGGCTGATGTTTTGGTCACTTTTGAATGCTGGTGGTGCTTTCACTCTAGTGGTAGCATGAGATGGAGTCTACAACCCACACAAGTGGCTCAGGTAGTGCAGCTCATCCAGGATGGCACATCAATGCGAGCTGTGGCAAGAAGGTTTGCTGTGTCTGTCAGCGTAGTGTCCAGAGCATGGAGGCGCTACCAGGAGACAGGCCAGTACATCAGGAGACGTGGAGGAGGCCGTAGGAGGGCAACAACCCAGCAGCAGGACTGCTACCTCCGCCTTTGTGCAAGGAGGGGCACTGCCAGAGCCCTGCAAAATGACCTCCAGCAGGCCACAAATGTGCATGTGTCTGCTCAAACGGTCAGAAACAGACTCCATGAGGGTGGTATGAGGGCCCGACGTCCACAGGTGGGGGTTGTGCTTACAGCCCAACACCGTGCAGGACGTTTGGCATTTGCCAGAGAACACCAAGATTGGCAAATTCGCCACTGGCGCCCTGTGCTCTTCACAGATGAAAGCAGGTTCACACTGAGCACGTGACAGATGTGACAGAGTCTGGAGACGCCGTGGAGAACGTTCTGCTGCCTGCAACATCCTCCAGCATGACCGGATTGGCGGTGGGTCAGTCATGGTGTGGGGTGGCATTTCTTTGGGGGGCCGCACAGCCCTCCATGTGCTCGCCAGAGGTAGCCTGACTGCCATTAGGTACCGAGATGAGATCCTCAGACCCCTTGTGAGACCATATGCTGGTGCGGTTGGCCCTGGGTTCCTCCTAATGCAAGACAATGCTAGACCTCATGTGGCTGGAGTGTGTCAGCAGTTCCTGCAAGAGGAAGGCATTGATGCTATGGACTGGCCCGCCCGTTCCCCAGACCTGAATCCAATTGAGCACATCTGGGACATCATGTCTCGCTCCATCCACCAAGGTCTGTCCAGGAGTTGGCGGATGCTTTAGTCCAGGTCTGGGAGGAGATCCCTCAGGAGACCATCCGCCACCTCATCAGGAGCATGCCCAGGCGTTGTAGGGAGGTCATACAGGCACGTGGAGGCCACACACACTACTGAGCCTCATTTTGACTTGTTTTAAGGACATTACATCAAAGTTGGATCAGCCTGTAGTGTGGTTTTCCACTTTAATTTTGAGGGTGACTCCAAATCCAGACCTCCATGGGCTGATAAAGCTGATTTCCATTGATAATTTTTGTGTGATTTTGTTGTCAGCACATTCAACTATGTAAAGAAAAAAAGTATTTAATAAGATTATTTCATTCATTCAGATCTAGGATGTGTTATTTTAGTGTTCCCTTTATTTTTTTGAGCAGTGTATAAAATTTACCTTGAGCATACTTACCTGTCCTGGTCTTCTGTTTTGGGGTTGTATGCTGGTGAACATTAAATCCTGTGTTTGGTGGAGTTAAAAGGGGTTCACACTAAACTCTGACATTAGCTCTATCTGGTCGAATGCGTGGTAGGCCTGTCTGTTAGTGGCAAACCAATTTGCAAGTACATTTACATTACATTTTAGTCATTTAGCAGACGCACTTATCCAGAGCGACTTACAGTTAGTGAATACATATATTTTTTTTTATACTGGCCCCCCGTGGGAATCGAACCCACAACCCTGGCGTTGCAAACGCCATGCTCTATCAACTGAGCTACATCCCTGCCGGCCATTCCCTCCCCTACCCTGGACGACGCTGGGCCAATTGTGCGCCGCCCATGAGTCTCCCGGTCGTGGCCTGCTGCGACAGAGCCTGGATTCGAACCAGGATCTCTGGTGGCACAGTCAGCACTGCGATGCAATGCCTTAGACCACTGCGCCACTCAGGAGAAAACATCTACTTTGGTCAGTGCTTATAACCTATCCCAGCATGTCTCCCTTATCATGTTGTTCTGTCAGCTGTACAATGGTGAGATCATTGTTTGGATACATTAATGTGAAGACACTATACAGATCATTCCTATCTTCACTTGCTATTACAAATGTCTGAGCTCACTGCAAATTCAACACTGGTCCGATCCTTATTCTCACGCTGATCAATGGCATGTAAATACTTGGTACCATCAGGACCTACATGTATGTTATCTCACATGACCGCCTGCTAACAAGTTTTTTATATCATCAAAGTCAGTTGGCCAGCATGCTCTTAACCTCTTGGGCACAGTTAAAACCTTTCTCATTAACTGAACTGAGATGCTGTGATTGTTGGTTTTCTGTTTACCTATGAACTCACTCAAATGGAAAGCACCAGAAGCTATATACTGGACCATAGTCCAAAAAGCTTTTCTTCAAGTGGCTATGGTGGTGCATATTTGGTGTGCAATACTGTTTTCGATAAAACCTAGCAAAGCTCTCACCGAACTGTTGCAAGTGGCGATGAGCCTCTCCAACTTGCTCCACTGTGATATATCTTGTACATAAGATGGTACAGGCTTTGGCAAAATGGCTCCCGCAATCATAATGGGCATCATCCACAAGTCATAACAACGAATAAGGAGTATGGAAAGCAGGGCAGCAGGTAGCCTAGTGGTTAGGAGCATTGGACCAGTAACTGAAAGGTTGTTTGGTCAAATCCCCAAGATGACTAGCTGAAAAAAAAGAATGTATGTACCCATGAGCAAGGCACTTAACCCTGGTTGCTCTGGATAAGTGTTTACATTTTAGTAAATTCATGTCAAACATTTCTATTTTTGTGGATTGAACTGAGAACACAGATTTTAGCAGGTGCTTTCAGTGCATCAACTTTAAATTAAGAGGAATATTTCTTAGTATTACATCATCCAGCTGTCCCCAGTAAAATATGATGCATAGGGTCCACAACAGCCATGTCTATGGGCATGAAATACAGCACCTTTGGAAAGTATTTAGACCCCTTGACTATTTCCACATTTTGTTACTTTACAGCTTTATTCTAAAATGTATTAAATAAAAGTAATTCCTCAGCAATCTACACACAATACACCATAATGACAAATCGAAAACAGGTTTTTAGAATATTTTGCAAATGTATTAAAGATGTTTTATTTTTTATTTCACCTTTATTTAACCAGGTAAGCCAGTTGAGAACAAGTTCTCATTTCCAACTGCGACCTGGCCAAGATAAAGCAAAGTAGTGCGATGAAAACAACAACAACAGTTACATATGGAATAAACAAAACATACAGTCAAAAACACAATAGAAAATCTATATACAGTGTGTGCAAATGTAGTAAGTTATGGAGGTAAGGCAATAAATAGGACATAGTGCAAAATAATTACAATTTAGTATTAACACTGGAGTGATAGATGTGCAGAGGATGATGTGCAAATAGAGATACTGGGGTGCAAATGAGCAAAATAAATAACAATGTAAATAACAATATGGGGATGAGGTAGTTGGGTGGGCTAATTACAGATGGGCTGTGTACAGGTGCAGTGATCAGTAAGCTGCTCTGAAAACTGATGCTTAAAGTTAGTGAGGGAGATAAGTGTCTCCAGCTTCAGAGATTGTTGCAGTTCGTTCCAGTCATTTGCAGCAGAGAACTGGAAGGAATGGCGGCCAAAGGAGGTGTTGGCTTTGGTGAGAAAACGGATGGCACTGTGATAGACTACATCCAATTTGCTGAGTAGAGTGTTGGAAGCTATTTTGTAAATTACATCGCCGAAGTTAAGGATCGGTAGGATGGTCAGTTTTACGAGGGCATGTTTAGCAGCATGAGCAAAGGAGGCTTTGTTGCAAAATAGGAAGCAGATTGTAGATTTAACTTTGGATTGGAGATGCTTAATGTGAGTCTGGAAGGACAGTTTACGGTCTAAGGTAGGTATTTGTAGTTGTCCACATATTCTAACTCAGACCCGCCGAGAGTAGTGATTCTATAATATAATAATATAATATGCCATTTAGCAGACGCTTTTATCCAAAGCGACTTACAGTCATGCGTGCATACATTTTTGTGTATGGGTGGTCCCGGGGATCGAACCCACTACTTGGCGTTACAAGCGCCGTGCTCTACCAGCTGAGCTACAGAGGACCACACACATTCTAGTCGGGTGGGCGGGTGCAAGCAGCGTTCGATTGAAGAGCATGCATTTAGTTTTACTAGCGTTTAAGAGCAGTTGGAGGCTACGGAAGGAGTGTTGTATGGCATTGAAGCTCGTTTGGAGGTTTGTTAACACAGTGTCCAATGAAGGGCTAGATGTATACCAAATGGTGTCGTCTGCGTAGAGGTGGATCTGAGAGTCACCAGCAGCAAGAGCGACATCGTTGATATACACAGAGAATAGAGTCGGCCCGAGATTAAACCCTGTGGCACCCCCATAGAGACTGCCAAAAGTCCAGACAACAGGCCCTCCGATTTGACACATTGAACTCTATCTGAGAAGTAGTTGGTGAACCAGGCGAGGCAGTCATTTGAGAAACCAAGGCTATTTAGTCTACCAATAAGAATGTGGTGATTGACAGAGTCGAAAGTCTTGGCCAGGTTGATGAAGACGGCTGCACAGTACTGTCTTATATCGATCGTGGTTATTATATAGTTTAGGACCTTGAGCATGGCTGAGGTGCACCCATGACCAGCTCAGAAACTAGATTGCATAGCGGAGAAGGTACGGTGGGATTCGAAATGGGTCGGTGATCTGTTTGTTAACTTGGCTTTCAAATACTTTCGAAAGGCAGGGCAGGATGGATATAGGTCTGTAACAGTTTGGATCTAGAGTGTCACCCCCTTTGATGAGGGGGATGACCGCGGCAGCTTTCCAATCTCTGGGGATCTCAGACGATACGAAAGAGAGGTTGAACGGGCTAGTAATATGGGTTGCGACAATTTCGGCGGCTAATTTTAGAAAGAAAGGGTCCAGATTGTCTAGCCCAGCTGATTTGTAGGGGTCCAGATTTAGCAACTCTTTCAGGACATCAGCTATCTGAATTTGGGTGAAGGAGAAGCAGGGGGGCATGGGAAAGTTGCAGCGGAGGGTGCAGAGCTGGTGGCCAGGGTAGGTGTAGCCAGGTGGAAAGCATGGCCAGCCGTAGCAAAATGCTTATTGAAATACTCGATTATCGTAGATTTATCGGTGGTGACAGTGTTTCCTAGCCTCAGTGTAGTGGGTATCTGGGAGGAGGTGCTCTTATTCTCCATGTACTTTACAGTGTCCCAAAACCTTTTGGAGTTAGTGCTACAGGATGCAAATTTCTGTTTGAAAAAGCTAGCCTTTGCTTTCCTAACTGATTTTGTATATTGGTTCCTGACTTCCCTGAAAAGTTGCATATCGCGGGGGCTGTTCGATGCTAATGCAGTACGCCACAGGATGTTTTTGTGCTGGTCAAGGGCAGTCACGTCTGGGGTGATCCAGGGGCTATATCTGTTCTTAGATCTGAATTTTCTGAATGGGACATGCTTATTTAAGATGGAGAGGAAAGCACATTTGAAGAACATCCAGGCATCCTCTACTGATGGAATTAGGTCAATATCCATCCAGGATACCCGGGCCAGGTCAATTGGAAAGGCCTGCTCGCTGAAGTGTTTTAGGGAGCGTTTGACAGTGATGAGGGGTGGTCGTTTGACCGCGGACCCATTACGGATGCAGGCAATGAGGCTGTGATCGTTGAGATCCCGGTTGAAGACAGTGGAGGTGTATTTAGAGGGTAAATTAGTCAGAATGATATCTATGAGGGTGCCCATGTTTACGGACTTAGGGTTGAACCTGGTAGGTTCCTTTATAATTTGTGTGAGATTGAGGGCATCTAGTTTAGATTGTAGGATGGCCGGGGTGTTAAGCACATCCCAGTTTAGGTCACCAAGCAGTACGAACTCTGAGGATGGATGGGGGGCAAGCAATTCACATATGGTGTCCAGGCACAACTGGGGGCTGAGGGGAGTCTGTAGCAAGCTGCAACAGTGAGAGACTTATTTCTGGAAAGGTGGATTTTTAGAAGTAGAAGCTCAAACTGTTTGGGCACAGACCTGGATAGTATGATAGAGCTCTGCAGGCTATCTCTACAGTAGATTGCAACTCCGCCCCCTTTGGCAGTTCTATCTAGACCGAAAAAGTTGTAGTTCGGAATGGAAATTTCTGAAGCTAAGATTCAGACACTGCTAGAACATCAGGGTTGGCAGAGTGTGCTAATGCAGTGAATAACTCAACCTTGAGGAGGAGCCTTCTGATGTTAACATGCAAGAAACCAAGGCTTTTACAGTTACAGAAGTCAACAAATGATAGCGCCTGGGGGGTAGGAGTGATACTGGGGGCTACAGGGCCTGGGTTAACCTCTGCATCACCAGAGGAACAGAGGAGGAATAGTATAAGGATATGGCTAAAGGCTTTAAGAACTGGTCTTCTAGTGCGTTGGGTACAGAGAATAAGATTTCTGGGTGTTGTAGAACAGATTCAGGGCATTATGTACAAAAAAGGATATGGAAGGATATGAGTACAGTGGAGGTACACCTTAGCATTGGGTAACTATGAAAGAGATAGCATCACTAGAGGTACCGATTGAGCTGGTCTCTGCGTGTGTGTGGGGTGGGACAAAGGAGCTATCTGAGGCTGGTTGAGCTGAACTTGGGGCTCTAGAGTGAAATTGTATAATAAGAACTAACCCAAACAGCAATAGGCTAGGCATATTGACATGGGAGAGAAGCATAACGTATCACAGGTGTTATTCGAGAGGGCTAAGACAACAACTGGTAATGGTGACGAAAGTTTGGGCTGAGGCTAAACAGATAAACAGGATGGGGTTCATTTACATTTAACATTTTAGTCATTTAGCAGAGCGACTTACAGTTAGTGAGTGCATACATTCTTTTTATTCTTTTAATTTTTCATACTGGCCCCCCGTGGGAATCGAACCCACAACCCTGGCGTTGCAAACACCATGCTCTACATCCCTGCCGGCCATTCCCTCCCCTACCCTGGACGACACTGGGTCAATTGTGGGCCGCCCGGTCACGGCCGGCTACGACAGAACCTGGATTCCAACCAGGATCTCTAGTGGCACAGCTAGCACTGCAATGCAGTGCCTTAGACCACTGCGCCACTCGTACTGTGTACCGTGTAAAGGAACAGTACAGCAGGCATTAGCTGTGTAGCTGAGTGATCATAAGGTCCAGTGCACAGCACTAAGTAAGTCCGAGAGCAGATCGTAGGCTGCTAAAGCACAGGCGAGCAGGAGGCACGGCTGTTGATTGCGCGTGCTAGCGGGCCGGGGCTAGCAGATGGATCTTCGTGGTCGTCGCAACTGGAAGCCTGTTGAAACCACATCAGACGATTACGTCGGCAGACCAGTCGTGATGGATCAGCGGGGCTCCGTGTCGACACTAGGAGGTCCCGTCCGGTTGACAGAGAGGTAGATAGCCGGGAGATGGGCCTGGCTCAAGGCTAGCTCAAGGCTAACTGGTATGTCTGGAAGTGGTGATTAGCCAACAACAGCCATTCGTTTGCAGCTAGCTAGTTGCGATGGTCCGGTGTTAAGGTCCAGTGATTCAGTGATTCCAGCAGAAAATCCGATATGCTCTGGGTCGATTGCACACTGTGCAGACTGGCCTATAATTGTCCAGGCTAGAGCTGGCTGGTAGGTAGTGCAGGCCACGGACAGTGGTGAAGACCGCTAACGGTGGCTAATAGCAAGTAGCTAGTTAGCTGGCTAGCTGGCTAGTTTCAGCCGTAGGTTCTTGATAAAAATAAAGAAATCATAGAATCCGTTCCACATTGGGTGAGGCGGGTTGCAGGAAAGTATATTTAGTTAAAGGATGGAAAGTGAGAGAGAAATATATACGAATAAAAGACAAAAAACAAAAAAAAACTGGCTATTTACACGAGGACACAACACAATACACGACCGCACTACTACGCCATCTTGGAATCTAGAATTTACATAAGTATTCAGACCCTTTGCTATGAAATTCGAAATTGAGCTCAGGTGAATCCTGTTTCCATTGATCATCCTTGAGATGTTTCTACAAATTGATTGGAGTCCACCTGTGGTAAATTCAATTGATTAGACATGATTTGAAAAGGCACACACCTGTCTATATAAGGTCCCAAAGTTCACAGTGCATGTTAGAGCAAAAACCAAGCCACGAGGTTGAAGGAATTCTCCATAGAGCTCTGAGACAGGATTGTGTCAAGGCACAGATCTAGGGAAGGGTACAAAACATGTCTGCAGCATTGAAGGTCCTCAAGAACTCAGTGGCCTCCATCATTCTTAAAGGAAAGAAGCTTGGAACCACCAAGACTCTTCCTAGAGCTGGCCGCCAGCCAAACTGAGCAATCAGGGGAGAAGGGCCTTGGTCAGGGAGGTGACCAAGAGCACGATGGTCACTCTGACAGAGCTCTAGAGTTCCTCTATGGAGATGGGAGAACCTTCCAGAAGGACAACCATCTCTGCAGCACTCCACCAATCAGGCCTTTATGGTAGAGTGGCCTGACAGAAGCCACTCCTCAGTAAAAGGCACATGACATCCCGCTTGGAGTTTGCCAAAGGGCACCTAAAGACTCTCAGACCATGAGAAACAAGATTCTCTGGTCTGATGAAACCAAGATTGAACGCTTTGGCCTGAATGCCAAGCGTCATATCTGGAGGAAACCTGGCACCATCCCTACTGTGAAGCATGTTTGTGGCAGCATGTTGTGGGGCTGTTTTTCAGCGGCAGGTACTGGGAGACTAGTCAGGATCGAGGCAAAGATGAACGGAGCAAAGTACAGAGAGAACCTTGATGAAAACCTGCTCCAGTGCACTCAGGACCTCAGACTGGGGTGAAGGTTCACATTCCAACAGGACAACGACCTTAAGATCACAGCCAAGACAATGCAGGAGTTGCTTCTGGACAAGTCTCCGAATGTCCTCGAGTGGCCTAGAAGAGCCGGACTTGAACCCGATCGAACACCTCTGGAGAGACCTGAAAATAACTTTGCAGCAATGCTTCCCATCCAGCCTGACAGAGCTTGAGAGCATCTTCAGAGAATATTTATCTTTAATAAATTAGCAACATTTTCTAAAAACGTGTTTTTGCTTTGTAATTATGGGGTATTGTGTGTAGATTGATGAGGGTAAAAAAACACGATTTAATCAATTTTAGAATAGGCTGTAATGTAACAAAATGTGTAAAAAGTCAAGGGGTCTGAATACTTTCCAAAGGCACTGTATGGCAATTTCCTCTCTGCCATGTGTCCACATACTCAATTACACTTTGTGAACTTCATTCTGATGTTGCAGTACATGGTTCAGAACGGAAACCAGAGCAACCGTCCATGTCCACCCCATGTCCACCGCAGCCCTACCAGAACATCTGTGCAATGGACTCTAAACACCTCTCCCTCCCTCTCCTCTCACTCCTCTCATCTCATCTCCACTCCCTCTCCTTTCTCTCCTCTCCTCTCGTCTGCTCCTCCTCTCTGTCTGTGTTTACATAGCAGTCAGTGTTGCTGTAAACTAAACACAGACGCACTAACAGCCTCTCTCCTAATATCTGGTTGTCAGTCACACACACATACGCGCACACACACAGACTATGGGAGGTGCACAGTATTACATAGAGCCATGACTACATGGAACTCTATTCCACATTAAGTAACTCATGCAAGCAGTTAAATCAGATTTAAACAAACAGATAAACATACACCTTATGGAACAGCTGGGACTGTGTAGAGACACACACACAGGCACATGATAACATACGCACACATGGATTTTGTGTTGTAGATATGTGGTCATAGAGTAGTGGCTTGAGGACACCCACTTAATGTATTGTAATGTTTTTTTAATTGTTTAACATTTACAGTGAGGGAAGAAAGTATTTGATCCCCTGCTGATTTTGTACGTTTGCCCACTGACAAAGAAATGATCAGTCTATCATTTTAATGGTAGGTTTATTTGAACAGTGAGAGACAGAATAACAACAACAAAATCCAGAAAAACGCATGTCAAAAATGTTATAAATTGATTAGCATTTTAATGAGGGAAATAAGTATTTGACCACCTCTCAATCAGAAAGATTTCTGGCTCCCAGGTGTCTTTTATACAGGTAACGAGCTGAGATTAGGAGCACACTCTTAAAGGGAGTGCTCCTAATCTCAGTTTGTTACCTTTATACATTTACATTTACATTTACGTCATTTAGCAGACGCTCTTATCCAGAGCGACTTACAAATAGGTGCATTCACCTTATAGCCAGTGGGATAACCACTTTACAATGTATTTTTTTTTTTTTTTTTGGGGGGGGGGGGGTTGGTGTAAGGGGGGGGGGGGGGGGGGGTAGAAGGATTACTTTATCCTATCCCAGGTATTCCTTAAAGAGGTGGGGTTTCAAATGTCTCCGGAAGGTGGTGAGTGACTCCGCTGTCCTGGCGTTGTGAGGGAGCTTGTTCCACCATTGGGGTGCCAGAGCAGCGAACAGTTTTGACTGGGCTGAGCGGGAACTATGCTTCCGCAGAGGTAGGGGAGCCAGCAGGCCAGAGGTGGATGAACGCAGTGCCCTCGTTTGGGTGTAGGGACTGATCAGAGCCTGAAGGTACGGAGGTGCCGTTCCCCTCACAGCTCCGTAGGCAAGCACCATGGTCTTGTAGCAGATGCGAGCTTCAACTGGAAGCCAGTGGAGTGTGCGGAGGAGCGGGGTGACGTGAGAGAACTTGGGAAGGTTGAACACCAGACGGGCTGCGGCATTCTGGATGAGTTGTAGGGGTTTAATGGCACAGGCAGGGAGCCCAGCCAACAGCGAGTTGCAGTAATCCAGACGGGAGATGATAAGTGCCTGGATTAGGACCTGTGCCGCTTCCTGTGTAAGGCAGGGTCGTACTCTCCGAATGTTGTAGAGCATGAACCTACAGGATCGGGTCACCGCCTTGATGTTAGCGGAGAAAGACAGGGTGTTGTCCAGGGTCACGCCAAGGCTCTTCGCACTCTGGGAGGAGGACACAACGGAGTTGTCGACCGTGATGGCGAGATCATGGAACAGGCAGTCCTTCCCCGGGAGGAAGAGCAGCTCCATCTTGCCAAGGTTCAGCTTGAGGTGGTGATCCGTCATCCATACTGATATGTCTGCCAGACATGCAGAGATGCGATTCGCCACCTGGTTATCAGAAGGGGGAAAGGAGAAGATTAGTTGTGTGTCGTCAGCGTAGCAATGATAGGAGAGGCCATGTGAGGATATGACAGAGCCAAGTGACTTGGTGTATAGCGAGAATAGGAGAGGGCCTAGAACTGAGCCCTGGGGGACACCAGTGGTGAGAGCACGTGGTGCGGAGACAGCTTCTCGCCACGCCACTTGGTAGGAGCGACCGGTCAGGTAGGATGCAATCCAAGAGTGAGCCGCACCGGAGATGCCCAGCTCGGAGAGGGTGGAGAGGAGGATCTGATGGTTCACAGTATCAAAGGCAGCAGACAGGTCTAGAAGGACAAGAGCAGAGGAGAGAGAGTTAGCTTTAGCAGTGCGGAGAGCCTCCGTGACACAGAGAAGAGCAGTCTCAGTTGAATGACCAGTCTTGAAACCTGACTGGTTTGGATCAAGAAGGTCATTCTGAGAGAGATAGCAAGAGAGTTGGCTAAAGACGGCACACTCAATAGTTTTGGAGATAAAAGAAAGAAGGGATACTGGTCTGTAGTTGTTGACATCAGAGGGATCGAGTGTTGGTTTTTTGAGAAGGGGTGCAACTCTCGCTCTCTTGAAGACGGAAGGGACATAGCCAGCGGTCAAGGATGAGTTGATCAGCGAGGTGAGGTAAGGGAGAAGGTCACCGGAGATGGTCTGGAGAAGAGAGGAGGGGATAGGGTCAAGCGGGCAGGTTGTTGGGCGGCCTGCCGTCAACAAGTCGCAAGATTTTATCTGGAGAGAGAGGGGAGAAAGAAGTCAAAGCATAGGGTAGGGCAGTGTGAGCAGGATATGTATAAAAGACACCTGTCCACAGAAGCAATCAATCAATCAGATTCCAAACTCTCCACCATTGCCAAGACCAAAGAGCTCTCCAAGGATGTCAGGGACAAGATTGTAGACCTACACAAGGCTGGAATGGGATACAAGACCATCGCCAAACAGCTTGGTGAGAAGGTGACAACAGTTGGTGCGATTATTCGCAAATGGAAGAAACACAAAAGAACTGTCAATCTCCCTCGGCCTGGGGCTCCATGCAAGATCTCACCTCGTGGAGTTGCAATGATCATGAGAACGGTGAGGAATAAGCCCAGAACTACATGAGAGGATCTTGTCAATGATCTCAATGCAGCTGGGACCATAGTCACCAAGAAAACAATTGGTAACACACTACGCCGTGAAGGTGTTGTGTCTAAACAGTTTATGATTTTGCTGACGTTTGCAAATGGTGTGTTAGAGGAACTTGGCTCTGCTTGCGGAAACATCTGGAAAACATTATTATAGGGGCCCCCTAAAACAGAGGAGAGTCTGCTATGTAGAGGCCGGGGATTGGTCTATTAAAATCACGCCATATTATGTTACATAGGATATAAATACCATGTTTAGAAAAAAGGACGGAGAGAATAACATATTAGAGATTGGGTCAGTTGTTCTCTGGATTTCTGCAGGAGTCTGTAAATTGACACTGTAATCTTTGATGTAATAAACCATTATAATCAAGGACAGTGTCAGCGGATTTCTTGTCATCACAGCATATCAGCATCGTTGTCTCGACACCACAAAGGACTGAAATCCTGCAGCGCCCGCAAGGTCCCCCTGCTCAAGAAAGCACATATACAGGCCCGTCTGTACTGAACTGGGTGAAAATGTTGTGGTCAGATGAGACCAAAATCGAGCTCTTTGACATCAACTCAACTCGCCGTGTTTGGAGGAGGAGGAATGCTGCCTATGACCCCAAGAACACCATCCCCACCGTCAAACATGGAGGTGGAAACATTATGCTTTGGGGGTGTTTTTCTGCTAAAGGGACAGGACAACTTCACCGCATCAAAGGGATGATGGACGGGGCCATGTACCGTCAAATCTTGGGTGAGAACCTCCTTCCCTCAGCCAGGGCATTGAAAATGGGTCGTGGATGGGGTATTCCAGTATGACAATGACCCAAAACACACAGCCAAGGCAACAAAGGAGTGGCTCAAGAAGAAGCACATTAAGGTCCTGGAGTGGCCTAGCCAGTCTCCAGACCTTAATCCCATTGAAAATCTGTGGAGGGAGCTGAAGGTTCGAGTTGCCAAACCTCAGCCTCGAAACGTTAATGACTTGGAGAAGATCTGCAAAGAGGAGTGGGACAAAATCCCTCCTGAGATGTGTGCAAACCTGGTGGCAAACTACAAGAAACATCTGACCTCTGTGATTGCCAACAAGGGTTTTGCCACCAAGTACTAAGTCATGTTTTGCAGAGGGGTCAAATACTTATTTCCCTCATTAAAAAGCAAATCAATTCATAACATTTTTGACATGCCTTTTTCTGGATTTTGTTGTTGTTATTATATATCTCATTGTTCAAATAAACCTTCCATTAAAATTATAGACTGATCATGTCTTTGTCAGTGGGCAAACGTACAAAATACTCAAATACTTTTTTCCCTCACTGTACGTAATTTAGCAGACGCTCTTATCCAGAGCAACTTACAGTAGTGAGGGCATACATTTTCATTCTGGTCCACCGTGGGAATTGAACACACAACCCTGGCATTGCAAGCGCCATGCTCTACCAACTGAGCCTTGATTCTGTTGGACCCCAGGATACAAATACAAATACACACGCACACACACATGGGTCCTGCTTCAAATGACATTCAGCTTATAAAGGCTTCATAATGCCTTCATAAGCACTACATAAATGTGTTACAAAGCATCTATAACCGTAAGTCATGCTTAATAAAGGGTTCATAAATATGGCATAACTGTGTGACAATCACCAATGTCAAATGTGACATAAACCACTATGTCGAATATGATATAAACATGTGACATGTTGTGCTGAAGGATGGTATACGCTCTGAAGTGATGTCATGTTAGTCACATTACACCTTATTTAGTTCCCAGACACTTCCGCCCAAATGAGCATCAAACTTGGCCTTCATTAGTTAGGGTTAGATTTAAAGAAGATATATAAATGGCTGATTGTAGCTTACACATAAATCCAGTGTCTTTCTCCACGGCATCTGGCTAGTTGACAAAACGTGAGTGGCTTGAAAAAAATGAGAAAATATAATAAAGTAATAGAAATAAACAAAGCAACATTTTAAGAAGATAAATTGTGCAAATGGGTTTAGCAATAATTATGACTTTTTGACTGTGTTATGTAGTGACGATGACAAATACTTTACTCAGTGAGGTCACTCCTATAGAATTCTATGGCCACTCCCACTAAGGCCAACTTTGAATGGTTGATATCCCAGGCTTATATGTGCTATGTGTGCAATAGCCTGGGGCCGACGTTACACCAAGAAACACTCACCTTGATGAAAGTCCCCAAACCTATACCAAGTTACATGTTCCTCAGTACACAAACATGTACACAACAAAAATGACCCATACCGCACAGTACTGGGCCCAGTCAGGTCTTTCACACCTTTCCCCACTGAAAGATCAAACACAAAATTGTACCACCATTATAACAGGTTGTAATCAAGCTCTGGTTTCCAGCATGGGAACAGAAGAGGAATACCTGTTGCGGTGGTCTCAGGTTGGACTACTCCAAATCATCTTGGTTCTGACACAAACACACACACACACACACCCACACAAACGCAAGCTTTGCAGGTCCATCAACCCATTTAAATACCTCTCACACCGTACAGCAGGGTTCCCCAACTGGTGGCCTGCAGGGTGGTTTTATTTGCCCCCCCCCCCCCCCCCCCCCCAAGTTTTATGAGCAAAAAAGTACATTATGTTTTTATTTTATTTTACATTTTCATTGTTGGACATAAAAGACTGTAAAAACACCAAGAAATCAGCTCCAACTGATTTAAATTTTGGAAATATGTTCCCAAGTATTCTCATGCATAATAGAAAGACATGATCATACAGTAATGTAAGCAAGGTTTGAAATGATTATGTTTTAGTCAAATCTTATATCTGTTTGGGATTCTTGCAGTTAATTTGCAGTCTACAAATGATTTGTAAAAATCAGCCCGCGGCTGAATCTGTCATGCCTGCTCCCGCTCCCCCTCCCTGGCGCTTGAGGGTGCCAGGCTGCCCATCATTACGCACACCTGTCACCATCGTTACGCGCATCAGCGCTTCATTGGACTCACCTGGACTTCATCACAGTTTAATTACCTTCCCTATATCTGTCTGTTCCTCAGTTTGATCCCCGTGTCGGCATTAATGTTGTTTCATTTACGTTCTCCAGACGCTGTCTGTGTTTTTTTCCTGTCTGTTTTTTTCATTAAATGTTCACTCCCTGTACATGCTTCTCGTCTCCCAGCGTCTGTCCTTACAGAATCTAGTTGATGATCACTGCCCTACAGTAACCTGTGGATCGTGAGAGAACCTTCATAAATCAGTAGAACGTTAATAACCTACTTATTGACACTTTATGTGGTGTCCTGTAATACTTAGTTTGAAGTGAGACACCTTTGGTCATTCATAACACATTCATAAAGACTCTATATCGCATGACGTTGTACTTAATTTAAAGTCAGACCCCTTTGGTCATTTATAACACATACACACATGCCTTGTATCATATGGCGTTGTACTTACTATAAAGTCAGACCCCTTTGGTCATTCATAACACATACGTAAAGGCTTAATGATGTAAACAGAAATGCATTAACACTTAGGGATTTATCACATGTTTAAACCATACATTTCCTTTTATTTGTACATTTTTAAAACAATACAAAATACATGAAGTTTCAAAAAGTCCAGCAATGCAATTACATTGAACATTACACAGGGCTGTGAACAGTGTAGCTTGTCCCTGAGCTGGAGGACGAATGGTGCTTGCCTCTCTTCCTGCTGGAGGTACTGCATCTTGGTTCCAACATTACAGTAACAACAAAGAAAATTAGCAGGTCTGTTAGGAAATGCCTTTGTCACACCATCTGGATAAGGGCATTTCTCTGTGCTGCGCCACAAACTCTAAATGGGAAGATGGGGAAACTCCATTCAATTCGTATTATTATATTCCTCTTTCATTTACAAATATCATGACGTGACTATGACACATGTTAGTGTCTAGGGGGATTTGTATTTAGCTGAGATGACATACAGTTATAGATGATTTGTAACACATTCTATAGTGTTTATGAAGGCTTTATGACGCCTTTATGAAGCCTTTATAAGTTGCATCATTTAAAGCAGGCCAAAGTTTGAGTAATCAAGGTGTCAGACAGTGACACATTCAATGCCGCCTTGCACACTCTTGCCTGCATCTAGCTGATCTAGGGTGTAATCATCAGTCCAAAAGTTGCAAACGAGAGTTTCTATTGGACAAATGTAGGTAGGTTTATCCCTGTTTTGTTCTATTTGCTTCCATTTAAGATTTTTTTTTCAACAGAATCGGCGGAATGAATACACCCCGAATTATATAAAAACACATTTCACTTTCATAGCAGCCATATACCAACAGCATGAACATTTTGCTCATTGTATAATTCCTTCTAACATCTACTCTCACCTTTCCCTTTGCTTGTGGACTTCAGTGCACAGCACATCAGCTGTCTGTGACCGGGCAAAAAAAAACATTCCAAGCCAAACCTTCATATCATAACCGTTAACCATCGCACACAGCCTACGTCGTTGTCACCATATTATCTAACATCGTTAGTAACGTCATAGTCAACATAGCTACTAGAACTAAAGCGTTTGTAAACCTGCTACAATCATGTAGTACAGTGTACAGTCAGCAAGCAGTTTAGCAGTTACACCGGCAGGCCCGGTGGCAATAAATTAATAAAACCAAATGCTTACCTTGACTTGGAAGAGTTCCAGTGTTGGATAGCTACAGCCAACTAGCTAAAATAGTATCCCTCTCTGATTGAGCTGGGTGTTTGAGTAGGCTAAACTAGCTAGCTGCATTTGCTAGCTAAGTGAAAGTGAAAAGAATACAATAGAAATATAGCTATCATTCTCTCTTGCTTCTCCTTCATTTAAGAAATACATTTGTTAAAAACTGTTCAACTATTGTCTTTCCCTCTTTTTGAGTCCACTACTCAACACATGTTATGCACTGCATCGCTAGCTAGCTGTAGTTTATGCTTTCAGTACTAGATTAGTCTCTGATCCTTTGATTGGGTGGACAACATGTCAGTTCATGCTGCAAAAGCTCTGATAGGTTGGAGGATGTCCTCCGGAAGTTGTAATAATTACTGTGCAAGTCTATGGAAGGGGGTGAGAACAATGAGCCTCCTAGGTTTTGTATTGAAGTCAATGTACCCAGAGGAGGACGGAAACTAGCTGTACTCCGGCTACAACATGGCGCTACCACCAGCAGCGCGAGCCTCCCTCTTTTGTGCGACTGAAGTGAGTTTGGAAAAACTTAAAGTATACATCTTAGAAATTGTATTTTAAAACTAACAATATATGTCCGAAATCAGAATCATATTGGTTTCCCAAAAATAACATTTCAGGTAGCATGATTTCAGATACACTACCAGTCAAAAGTGTTATAACTAATAATTCAAGGGTTTTTCTTTATGTTTACTATTTTCTAAATTTTAGAATAATAGTGAAGACATCAAAACTATTAAATAACACATATGGAATCATGTAGTAACCAAAAAGTGTTAAACAACAACAATTCTTCAACTAGCCACCCTTTGCCTTGATGACAGCTTTGCACACTCTTGAAATTCTCTCAACTAGCTTCACCTGGAATGCTTTTCCAACAGTCTCGAAGGAGTTCCCACATATGCTGAGCACTTGTAGGCTGCTTTTCCTTCACTCTGCGGTCCAACTCATCCCAAACCATCTCAATTTGGTTGAGCTCGGGGGATTGTGGAGGCCAGGTCATCTGATGCAGCACTCCATCACTCTCCTTCTTGGTCAAGTAGCCCTTACACAGCGTGGAGGTGTGTTGGGTCATTGTTCTGTTGAAAAACAATTGATAGTCCCACTAAGCCCAAACCAGATGGGATGGTGTATCGCTGCAGAATGCTGTGGTAGCCATGCTGGTTAAGTGTGCCTTGAATTCTAAATAAATCACAGACAGTGTCACCAGCAAAGCACCCCCACACCATAACACCTCCTCCTCCATGCTTTACGGTGGGAAATACACATGCAGAGATCATCCGTTCACCCACACCCCTTCTCACAAAGACACGGTGGTTGGAACCAAAAATCTCCAATTTGAACTCCAGACCAAAGGACACATTTCCAATGGTCTAACGTCCATTGCTCGTGTTTGTTGGCTCAAACAAGTCTCTTCTTATTATTGGTGTCCTTTAGTAGTGGTTTCTTTGCAGCAATTTAACCATGAAGGCCTGATTCACACAGTCTCCTCTGGACAGTTGATGTTGAGATGTGTCTGTGACTTGAACTCTGTTAAGCATTTATTTGGGCTGCAATTTCTGAGGATTGTAACTCTAATGAACTTATCCTCTGCAGCAGACGTAACTCTGAGTCTTCCGTTCCTGTGCCGGTCCTAATGAGAGCCAGTTTCATCATAGCGCTTGATGGTTTTTGCGACTGCACTTGAAGAAACTCTCAAAGTTCTTGAAATGTTCAGTATTGACTGACCTTCATGTCTTAAAGTAACGATGGACTGTAGTTTCTCTTTGCTGATTTGAGCTGTTCTTGCCATAATATGGACTTGGTCTTTTACCAAATAGGGCTATCTTCTGTATACCCCCCCACCTTGTCACAAAACAACTGATTGGCTCAAACGCATTAAAACTGAAATAAATTCCACAATTAACTTTTAAGAAGGCACACCTGTTAATTGAAATGCATTGTAGGTGACTACCTCATGAAGCTGGTTGAGAGAATGCCAAGATTGTGCAAAGCTGTCATCAAGGCAAAGCGTGGTTATTTGAAGAATCTCAAATATTAAATACATTTTGATTTGTTTAACACTTTTTTGGCTACTACATGATTCCATATGTGTTATTTCATAGTTCTGATGTCTTCACTATTATTCTACATTGTAGAAAATAGTAAAAATAAAGAAAAACCCTTGAATGAGTAGGTGTTCTAAAACTTTTGACCTGCTGTGTATGTCCAAGCAAACAGGATTATTAGTGACATCATTCTTCTTGCAAAGCATGTAAACCTATATATATCATCTAAATATAAAATATCCGTGATTGTAACCAAAATCATTTTCCAAATGATCTGTTCTGAACAGAACCCCGATTGTTTTGTTTTTTCAGTTCCAGTGTTCCAACCAGCATAATACAGTTCTGAACCGGTTCAAACCCCCAAGAATATATTGTTCATATAGTTTTTTAACCCTTGAAATCAACATGGTTTTTACATTTAGCTCAGTAATTTATTCCACCAATTATCAAGGTAGAGACGCTTGCTACGGAATGGATAAGCTAGTTGTTAACATGTTTGATTGGTCATATAAGAGAAGGCGCACTGTGTTGAGCGTTTAACAAAGAAATAGGTACTCGTATATGTTTAATTTAGAGTCATAATGTAACTTTAGTTGTTCTACAAACGTTGGGCTATATGTTTTCATTTTAATGCATTGTAAGGCTACATGATGCGACTCTAATGACGATTTGAAAAAAGTCGCTTGAAAGGCATGAGCTCTGCTTTGATTTTTGGGCAGGCTGTACACACTTCATCAGTCTCTCATTCACGATTTGACAAGAAAGTGATAATGCCTCAAATTCCACAGCGGCATCCCCTTACTGTGTGGCCGTAATGAACCCTAAAAAAATCCATGCCTTTTGCGGCCAGTGACTGTTGTGCCCTTGGCCCGGAGTGCTGTGTTGTGCCCTTCTCCCTGAGTGCTGCGCGCTCCGATGCACCTCTCACTCACATGGCTCTCCATCACTTAAATCGGGTCTTTCTCACAGGCTACAAGTGAAGACACATCGGGGACGCAACTGCGCACCGAGGTGCACATTGAAGATATTGGAAGAACTGCCCACATTTACTTTTCGTCAGCCAACAAGATGAGTAGGCGTGTGGCGGACTATGTGGTTGATTTCCGCACGTTGGCTGCCGAGAGTGTCTGGAACCCGGAATCCCTGTTCGACACGTTCCTTCATGGATTATCGGAGGAGGTTAAAGATGAGCTTGCAGCCCAGGAACTGCCTACGGATCTCAACCCGCTCATTGCCTAGACCATCCGGATCAATGGGTGGCTACTGGAACGTAGAAGGGAGAGGAGGTCTGATTCCGGTCCCACTCGCTCGCCCAAGGATCCCACCTCGCCTCCGAGGAATCCCAGAAGTCCCCGGCATCTACATTCCCGAGAGAATCCGAGGTTCCCCAAGTTCCCCAAGAGTCTCCGAAGTCTGCCGACTCGCCTCTTCCAGGGCTGATGCAACTCGGCAGAGCTAGGCTGTCTCAGCCAAATGTTTACGCAGACGTAACACCAAGAGTTGTCTGTATTGTGGGACTACTGGTCATTACATGTCTACCTGTCCATTAAAAGACCAGGCTCATCAGTAGGTATGAGTACTCTGGTGGGCCATACAGAGAATTTTCCTTCTCCATGCCATTCTGCTGTGGGGTGACCAGTCGAAATCTCTCCGGGTTCTCATTGACTCTGGGGCCGATGAGAGTTTCATGGACGCTACCGTGGTTTCAGAGCTGGGCATCCCCACTCAGCCCCTCTCCATTCCCATGGACGTTAGAGCGCTGGATGGGCGCTCTATAGGCAGATTCACCCACAATACCACTCCTACCAACCTGCGAGTGTCGGGGAAACACAGTGAGTCAATGCAGTTCATGCTCATCAAGTCTACTCAGGTTCCCGTGGTATTGGGGTTTTCTTGGCTCCAGCGACACAATCCCCTTATCAACTTGACTGCTAGTGCTATCATGGGCTGTAGCCCAATCTGCCATGCCCATTGACTGAAGTTGGCGCAGCCTGCCAGGGGACGTCTTCCTGTGGGCTCGGCAGAAGCCTCAGACTTCTCCGCCGTTCCTGTGGAGTACCAGGACGTCCGGGACATTTTCAGCAAGGCCCGGGCCACTTTGCTTCCTTTACATCGACCCTATGAATGCGGGATCTACCTTCTCTCGCTACGCCACCCCGGGGACGGCTGTATTCACTGTCGGGTCCGGAGACCAAAGCTATGGAGACGTACATCGAGGACTCCCTGGCTGCAGGGTGTATCCGTCCTTCTGCCTGCCCCGCTGGCGCAGGGTTCTTCTTTGTGGAGAAGAGGGACAAAACCCTGCACCCATGCATCGAATACCAGGGCCTCAATGACATTATGGTTAAGAACTGCTACCCACTACCACTCATCACCTTGGCTTTCGAGCTGCTCCAGGGGGCCACTATTTTCTCTAAGTTGGACCTGCGGAACGCCTACCATCTGGTGCGGATACGAGAAGGTGATGAGTGGAAGACAGCCTTCAACTCTGTTAGCGGACACTGCGAATACATGGTGATGCCGTTCGGTCTGACCAACGCTCCTGCTGTGTTCCAGGCCCTGGTGATGACGTTCTCCGCGACATGTTGTACCGGTTCGTGTTCGTCTACATCGACAACATCGTTGTCTTTTCCAGCTCAGCTCAAGAACACGTTATCCACGTCCGACAGGTCCTCCATTATCATTTAGAGAACCAGCTAATTTGAGAACCAGCAAATTTGAATTCCATTGCGCCACCATCTCCTTCCTTGGATACATCATCACTGCTGGTAATCTGCAGATGGATCCCGAAAAGGTGAGAGCGATGGTGGATTGGCTCCAACTCACGTCCAGAGTGCAGCTGCAATGATTCTTAGGATTTGTCAATTTCTATCGCCATTTTATCCGAGGTTACAGCACCCTGGCTTCCCCCCTTTCAGCACTCACCACTCCCAAGGTCCCGTTCACATGGTCCCCAGCTGCTGACCGGCGTTCCTGGACCTTAAGCACCGCTTCACCACAGCTCCCATATGAATCCATCCTGACACGTCCCATCAGTTTGTGGTGGAAGTAGATGCTTCAGATGTCTGAGTGGGGGCCGTTCTGTCCCAGCTTTCTGCCCTGGACAATAAGCTGCATCCCTGCGCTTTCTTCTCCCATTGTCTTAACGCCACAGAGAGGAATTATGATGTGGGGAATCGAGAACTACTCTCGGTGAAGATGGCATTGGAGGAGTGGAGGCACTGGTTAGAGGGGACGGAACATCAATTTATTTTGTGGACGGATCACAAGAACCTGGAGTATCTCCGCACCGCCAAGCGTCCCAACTCCAGGCAAGCTCGATGGGCCCTGCTGTTCACCCAGTTCAACTTTACCATCTCCTACCGCCCGGGGTCCAAAAATGTTAAGCCGGATGCGCTTTCATGCCGCTAGAGCCCCAACACCCTCCCCTGCTCGCCTTTTGAGTGATCGATGGGTTATCAGCCCCCGCTCTTCCCTGAGCAAGAGGAAGAGATCAACATACCCTCGGCCCAGATGTTTTTCTGCCACTGCTCTTCTCAAGACCACCACCAGGTATCGACGACAGGCGAACTGCAACCGGACCGCGGCTCCCCGTTATCATCTCGAGCAGAGGGTATGGCTGTCCATTCGGGATCTGCCCCTCCGGGTGGAGTCCCGCAAACTTTCCACTCATTTTATCGGCCCTTTCCCCATCTCTAAGATCCTTAGCCCCTCTGCTGTTCATCTTCTGTTGCCCAGCACCCTCTGTATTCATCCCACTTTTCATGTATCAAGATTTAACCTCTGTCTCACAGCCCTCTGTCTCCTGTTTCCAGGATTACTGACCTCTGCCTGCCCTGACCCTGAGTCTGCCTGCCATTCAGTACCTTACTGACTCTGCCCTGGATTACTGACCTCTCCCTGCCCTTGACCTGTCGTCTGCCTGCCCCCTGTTTTGTTAATAAACATCTGTGATTCGAACTGTCTACATCTGGGTCTTATCCTGAGTTCTGCATAGCCTACATAAATGTTGCGCAACATGAGCTCATGTGCTCTCATGAAGTGTTTGATTAGATGTTTTGATCGATTACATTTGCATTGATGTCAGAGTGATTAGAAGGACAGTAGAGTACGGAATACAAGGGAGTTAGCAAGTTTGGTAGGCTACTAATGACCATCAGCAGCATTAGAGCTTTTGGAGAAGCCTAATTATGTTGTAAATATGTGAAATTGTTAGATATTACTTGTTAGATATTACTGCACTGTTGGAGATAGAAACACATGCATTTCGCTACACCCGCAATAACATCTGCTAAACATGTGTATGTGACCAATACCATTTGATTTGATTTGATTACCGTGACTAAACGGTTACTAGGAATTTGACTGCCTTCATGACTCGTGACCGCCGGTGTGGCGGTAATACGGTCACCGCAACAGCCCTATCCACTACTCATATCAATAACAGCTTGTTGTGTGGATTTAATGCATACCCTCTGTATTGAATAGGACTACACATCCACATGAATAGGTAGCATGTAAACACACACACACAAACACACACACACACACACACGCAGGGCTGGTGTAGAGAAAACGTTAGTTTTAAAGCAAGTTTTCTGCAATTCTACACAGTTTGCCATGGGCGGAGAGAAAATGTACAGTTTTACAGCTAATTTCCTGCAATTATTCCCATTTTGCCATGGAATGGAGATATTTTGTTTCAGCTTTAAAGCTAATTTCCTGCAATTCTACAGATTTTATAATGATTGAGAATGACTAACAAAATCAATGGTGGCCCATTGGAGGTCAGTGCCCTGGGCACGTGTCTCACAACTCAGGATAAGACCCAGATAAAGACACAGGATGTGGATGGTTCAGTTCTCAGATAATTTATTATAACACGGGGGGCAGGCAAAGGGCAGGTCGAGGACAGGCAGCAGTTCGTAACCAGGTCAGAGTCAGGCAGGTATAGGACGGCAGACAGGCTCAGGGTCAGGGCAGGCAGAAGTTCATAAACCAGGTCAGAATCAGGCAGGTACTGAATGGCAAGCAGACTCAGGGTCAGGGCAGGCAGAAAGGGCAGTACCGGGAGGACTATAAAACAGAAACTAGAGAGACTGGAAAACGGGAAAACACACCGGTAAGACTTGGCAAGACAAGACGAACTGGCAACAGACAAACAGAAAACGCAGGTATAAATACACAGGGGATAATGGGGAAAATGGGAGACACCTGGTGGGGACAAGCACAAGACAGGTGAAACAGATCAGGGTGTGACACATGCCCTGCATGCCGGTCGGTATGGCTAGACTAACTACCATTCTAAAAGTTGTTAGCTGACATGGCTAATTGAGTGACTGTCAGTGACTGACATAACAAGATAAAAACTTGTGACCTTGGGACAATAAGGTTCTATCTACACAAACTATAGTTCTGAGATATTGAGAATCAAACTTTTCACATCCCAGATCTCAGAACTATTTTGTAATGAGTTCTTATTTCATAACCCATTAACGTCCTCAACTTTAAGGTGCTGAGTATCAAAATCCTGAGACATTTGTAAATCTGTTTTTTTATGGGGGTGCAATCGCAGATAGAACCTTAGAAGGTTCTATCTGACACTGCTGAATTAGCCATGTCCCGTTTTTAAGAAAACTGTAGCTATTTGAATACATACAGTGCCTTCAGAAAGTATCCACAGCCCTTTACTTTTTCCACATTTTGTTGTGTAACAGACTGAAGTTAAAATTGATTAAATTGAGATGTGTCACTGGCCTACACACAATACACCATAATGTCAAAGTTGAATTATGTTCTTAAAAATGTTTACAAATTATTTTAAAAGGAAAAGCTAAAATGTCTTGAGTCCATAAGTATTCAACCCCTTTGTTAAGGCAAGCCTAAATAAGTTCAGGAGTAAACATTTGCTTAACAAGTCACATAATAAGTTGCATGGACTCACTCTGTGTGCAATAATAGTGTTTAACATGATTTATGAATGACTACCTCATCTCTGTACCCCACACGTACCATTATCTGTAAAGTCCCTCAGTCAAACAGTGAATTTCAAACAGAGATTCAACCACAAAGAACAGGGAGGTTTCCCAATGCCTTGCAAAGAAGGGCCCCTATTGGTAGAAGGGTAATAAAACAAACAGACATTGAATATCCCTTTGAGCATGGTGAAGTTATTAATTACACTTTGGATGGTGTATCAATACACCCAGTCACTACAAAGATACAGGTGTCCTTCCTAAACTCAGTTGTCGGAGAGGTGACATTAAAATTGCCAATGGGGACTTTAAAACAATTGCAGATTTTAATATATGTGATAGGAGAAAACTGAGGATGGATCAACAACATTGGAGTTGCTCCACAATACTAACCTAAATGACTAAGTGAAAAGAAGGAAGCCTGTACAGAATACAAATATTCAAAAACAAATACATCTGGTTTGCAATAAGATACTAAAGTAAAACTGCATAAAATGTGGCAAAGAAACTTTATGTCCTGAATACAAAGTGTTATGTTTGGGGCAAATCCAACACAACACATCACTGAGTACCATGTTATGGGTATGTTTGTCATCGGCAAGGGAGATTGTTAGGATGAAAATAAACGGAATAGAGCTAAGCACAGGCAAAATCCTAGAGGAAAACCTGGTTAAGTCTGCTTTCCAACAGACACTAAGAAATTAAGTGTCACGTCTCCTCCTGTTGCTCCCCTCCGGCGCTCTGATTCGCCGGTCTACTGAGCCACCGGTCTGATCGCACCACTCGGCAACACTGGAATAGAAACCCAACGCACCCTAATCACCTCCAGCGCACCTGCACCTCATCATCTCATCACCACCCCTATTTAGCCCTGGACTGTTCTGGATGATGTTCTGTGTGACTGTTAAGCTTTGTGTCATTTACTCCATCTTTGTTATTTCTCTTGCTCATTAAACCTTGACCTTGTTAGTTCCTGCGTCTGCATCCTGCCTCTTCGTATACTCAGTACGCGTCACAGAATCACACACCAAATGAAAATGGATGCAGCAGGAGTTTCCCAGTGCCTCGACCAGCACCAGCAGCAGCTTTCCCAGTTGAACGCCGCCATGCAGGAAGTGCTCCAAACTCTGCATAATCTGCCCAGCGCTCCGGTTCCACCTCAGGTAGTGGCGAGTGCCCCCAATCCACCAGTTCCCGTGCCATCACCCACTCCTGCGGGAACACTCGCCCTACCGGAGCACTATGATGGTAAAACTACTAAATGTAGCAGCTTCCTGCTACAGGTTTCCCTTTATCTGGCTCGTCAGCCTGGGGCATATCCATCTGACCAAGCCAGGATAGCGTTGGTGATCTCACTTCTTAAAGGAAAGGCGTTGGATTGGGCCACGGCAGTCTGGGACGGAGAGGAGGCAGTGGCACTGCCCTACCCCGCCTTCCTCGCTAGGTTCAGGGCGGTGTTTGATCATCCCACGGAGGGAAAGGACGGGGGTGAGCGTATCCTCCATCTACAACAGAGAGAGGGGCCCGCGTTTGAGTACGCTCTGAGCTTCCGCACGGTGGCGGAGGCGCATGTCCGGGGGGGTACTGTCACGTCTCCTCCTGTGGCTCCCCTCCGGTGCTCTGATTTGCTGGTCTACTGAGCCACCGGTCTGAGCGCACCACCTCGGCAACACCGGAATGAAAACCCAACGCACCGTAATCACCTCCAGCGCACCTGCACCTCATCATCTCATCACCACCCATATTTAGCCCTGGACTGTTCTGGATTATGTGTGTGATTGTTAAGCTTTGTGTCGTTTACTCTCTTTGTTATTTCTCTTGCTCATTGTTAAGTAAACCTTGACCTTGTTAATTCCTGCGTCTGCGTCCTGCCTCTTCGTATACTCCGTACACGTCACATTAAGAAATGTATTATGATCATCAGACACGTTACTATCATCACTGAACAAACGATATGACAACATAATTTACTTTTAAATTATTTATTTTTTTGCTTGTGTGAAGGAAATGTTATGTCTGTGTGTATCAGATCGTACACAGATTGTATGTTTAGCAACTCGGTTGGGTTCATGCAAGTGACTGAGAGTGCATGGGAGGAATCCTCACTATCACTGTATAAGCAATTTGTCAGTAAGCCCCAAACATTGCTCTGGGAACCAAAAGGAGTTTCTCAGTTTCAAGGTCTCAAGTATGAGAGAAGAAGCCTTGTGAGGTATTGGTCAGTCACATGCAGGAACCAACGTTAATAATGAATTATGAATAACGTAAATCATGATTATATGACTTGTTTGTGTAGCAGTGTATATAGAACAGAGGGAACTCCCTTTTCAGAGTTTTCATCAAGCTTGGATTTAGTTTATGAACCTCTCCGGCCGTGATAATAAAGATTGATGAATTTACATTGAGTTTAAGTCCTTAATGCCAAACTTCCACGACAATCTTCTCGTCACAAATTTTATTTTCTTGACGTGATCCATCAGTGAAGGTCTGAGAGGGAACACCGGTGGCGCATTATTGGGAAGGCACACTTAACCAGCATGGCAACCACAGCATTCTGCAGCAATACTCCATCCCATCTGGGCTTAGTGGGACTATCATTTGTTTATCAACAGGACAATTACATTTTAGTCATTTTAGCAGACGCTCTTATCCAGAGCGACTTAGTGAGTGCATACATTTTCATACTGGTCCCCCTTGGGAATCGAACCCACAACCCTGGCGTTGCAAGCGCCATGCTCTACCAACTGAGCTACACAGGCTACATGGGACAATGACCCAACACACCTCCAGGCTGTGTAAGGGCTATTTGACCAAGAAGGAGAGTGATTGAGTGCTGCATCAGATGATCTGGCCTCCACAATCCTCCGACCTCAACCCAATTGAGATGGTTTGGGATTAGTCGGACGGCAGAGTGAAGGAAAAGCAGCCAACAAGTGCTAAGCATATGTGGGAACTCCTTCAATACTGTTGGAAAAGCATTACAGAATAAACCTGGTTGAGCGAATGCCAAGAGTGTGCAAAGCTGTCATCAAGGCAAAGCGTGATTATTTGAAGAATCTCAAATATAAAATATATTTTGATTTGTTTAAATCTTTTTTGGTTACTACATGATTCCATATGTGTTATTTCATAGTTTTGATGTCTTCACTATTATTCTACAATGTAGAAAATAGTTAAAAATAAAGAAAAATCATTGAATGAGTAGGTGTGTCCAAACTTTTGACTGGTACTGTATGTGTCAAAGGAAGGATGTTGGATCTTGTAAATAAATATTGGTGTACAGTAGGTTTTACTGTGTTTGCAGAAAATGTCTCTGGTGGTGGGGTTGTACAATATTTGATTTGCATGACTAACAATGTTGAACCAAACTCTGAAAACAAAATTGATTAAACTAATTGGTGAAACAAGCGTGACATGGCTAAAGGTGCTTCCATTGGCACTGATGAGTATGAGAGGCAGATTCCACACAGTCACGGGACTCTCTCCACATGAGGATGACTAATACACCTTTTCCCCAGAACAGGTTGTCCCTGCAAGGAATGGAGGAAAACATGGTTGAGTATTGCGTCACCCTTAACAGTGTTCTTAAGACTCTTTTCCCCCGGATGAAGGTGTCTTTGCCAAACAAGTGTAGCTGAGCACTATTTGAACCCAGCTGATTTTGTGGTGGTCAAAGACTTCAGGAGAAAGAGTTGGAAGGACCCCCGTTGGAGAGGGCGGTACCAAGTTCTTCTGACCACCCCCACTGCGGAAACCTGACAGAGGGTGAGATGAATCCTGAGCCAAAGGGAACAATGCAGGCCCGGAGTAGTGGCCCAGAAGTAGATGGTCATCGGAGAAGGAGAGCCCTGCTGGGCCCTCATAACCAAGAGGACTGATGGAATGGCCACTACCAAGTTTTATGATGAGTATGACTGTCTAAAGGGTCTGGGAAATAAAGCTTCAGACAAAGATTTGCGCATTTTCTGTGCTTTTAAAACAGCTCCAATGCAAAATATCATCGCCACGTTAAATCAGAGGCTTCGTCAAGAATTAAAAATGAAATTAACCAGCCACAATAGGGATTCCCCTCAGGGGAAACTATATATTTAATACAGCAATACCCACAGATAAAAGTAGACCAATCTGGCCGAAACATTACGGTAAAAATACAAAAGAAAGAAAGTCCTATGTTGGTGGATACGGGTGCTACTACCTCCACTTTTGGTAAAGGTACAGGACTTGACTTACCCCTAACCAATAAAACTATAAACGCTTATGGGATTTCCTCCACCCCGGTAATACATTTTAAAACAAAACCCGTGCCCTGTTGAATAGGACCAATGAATGTTGAACATGATTTTCTGTATTCACCCACTCAACCGTTTAACTTGCTCGGTAGAGACTTGTTAACTAAACTTAAGGCTACAATGTATTGTACAATGGAGTCTTTGTTGATATCCCAAACGATGAGATATTAACAGTGAGTAAGCAGGCAAATTGAACCACTCTCCCAGCAGGAGTGGGGGTCTGACACTGTTTCCCAGTCTATCCTGTCTCAGGTGCCAGATTCATTATGGACAGAGCACTCCAATGACTGATAGGCAGTGCTAGCCCAATTATAATAAATTTTGACCCCTTAAAGAAAGTCTAGTCTCGAGAGCTACCTTAAAAAGGAAGCTCCCTCCAAAGTTGATCTCTCCCCTTCTGAATTGGCCGATGTATTTTATAATTTCGGCGCATTACATATTCATCTCAACATAATAGAAATTTAATGAGTGTGAAGCAGAAAGTTAATATCCATCAGAAATTGGTAATAAATATTAAGAGTAACATTGTTAGGGTAGACTATAATGCAAAAAATGCCTTCCAATAAGGAGAAAGTTATCATGTTTGTTTTGTTTATTTTTAACCTTACAATAGGGGTAAAAACAGAACATTGTTTGAGAGTTATCCGTGTGTATTAGAAGTAGTGATTGAGAGGGTTTTTCATACTGGAAAGAGTAGAAGGGTCCTAGTTGAAGGAAACTGATATGGAGACTACTGAAAGTAACAAAGACTTGATAAAGAGAGTAAAGTGGAAAGATTCATGGTACTCATGATCTATCAGTTGATGTCAAATGTAATGAGTGTTGACAGTATGTGAATGGTAATATTTGTGGCTTTCAGATAGCACTCTAATAATGCAATATCTTAATCATTTGAAGAAGCTATGGTTTTAATACAAGGTCACATGATGAACAGAGGGATTGAGCCTTGGGACTGATGTTATATTAGAGGCTGCCATCTGGTGTTTGGGTTAAAGATAAGATTCCTGTGGACCAATAGATAAGCCGCCAGTAACAGTTAGTGGCACTCAAACAGGCTGTAAGGGACTCAGTGGGAAAATTTTGGACAGAGGTATGAATAATTGAATAAGATACGTTTTTGACCATTTCCAATTATTATTACTCAATTCGATAGTTTGAATAACACCAGTGATTTAAGAAAGAAGGTAATGTCATCTAAAACAATAATCTGTTTCCATTACGTAGAACACTGTCCAAAATTGAAGTAGATCCAAGTAAATGTTTTTAGTACCGAATAAGTCAGCACCAACGTTTTGAAGACCGTAGCTGATTTGTTAAACAACAGGTTTTATATTTTGACTAGCTGATGTCCCAGGAACAGTTAGTACAGAACAGATCAATGCAACCGATTGTGGTAAGAGCTATAGAAACAATGGTTAAACCTTGAGAGATGTATTTACCTCTGGGTCTACAGATCCCCTGTGTATGTGTGTATATTTTTTGATAGATTCACTCCCCGTTGATAGAAGTACAACATTAACTGTAGATTTTAGCTTTATTATGATAATAGTATCTCCATGAATGAAATTGTGTAATGAAGCATTTGTGTAACTGTATGACTTACTAGTTAGATTGTACAACCCAGAATTACAGTGGGGAAAAAAAGTATTTAGTCAGCCACCAATTGTGCAAGTTCTCCCACTTAAAAAGATGAGAGTGGCCTGTAATTTTCATCATAGGTACACGTCAACAATGACAGACAAATTTAGGAAAAAAAATCCAGAAAATCACATTGTAGGATTTTTAATGAATTTATTTGCAAATTATGGTGGAAAATAAGTATTTGGTCACCTACAAACAAGCAAGATTTCTGGCTCTCACAGACCTGTAACTTCTTCTTTAAGAGGCTCCTCTGTCCTCCACTCGTTACCTGTATTAATGGCACCTGTTTGAACTTGTTATCAGTATAAAAGACACCTGTCCACAACCTCAAACAGTCACACTCTAAACTCCACTATGGCCAAGACCAAAGAGCTGACAAAGGACACCAGAAACAAAATTGTAGACCTGCACCAGGCTGGGAAGACTGAATCTGCAATAGGTATGCAGCTTGGTTTGAAGAAATCAACTGTGGGAGCAATTTTTAGGAAATGGAAGACATACAAGACCACTGATAATCTCCCTCGATCTGGGGCTCCACGCAAGATCTCACCCTGTGGGGTCAAAATGATCACAAGAACGGTGAGCAAAAATCCCAGAACCACACAAGGGGACCTAGTGAATGACCTGCAGAGAGCTGGGACCAAAGTAACAAAGCCTACCATCAGTAACACACTACGCCGCCAGGGACTCAAATCCTGCAGTGCCAGACGTGTCCCCCTGCTTAAGCAAGTACATGTCCAGGCCCGTCTGAAGTTTGCTAGAGTGCATTTGGATGATCCAGAAGAGGATTGGGAGAATGTCATATGGTCAGATGAAACCAAAATAGAACTTGTTGGTAAAAACTCAACTCGTCTTGTTTGGAGGACAAAGAATGCTGAGTTGCATCCAAAGAACACCATACCTACTGTGAAGCATGGGGGTGGAAACATCATGCTTTGGGGCTGTTTTTCTGCAAAGGGACCAGGACGACTGATCCGTGTAAAGGAAAGAATGAATGGGGCCATGTATCGTGACATTTTGAGTGAAAACCTCCTTCCATCAGCAAGGGCATTGAAGATGAAACGTGGCTGGGTCTTTCAGCATGACAATGATCCCAAACACACCGCCCGGGCAACGAAGGAGTGGCTTCGTAAGAAGCATTTCAAGGTCCTGGAGTGGCCTAGCCAGTCTCCAGATCTCAACCCCATAGAAAATCTTTGGAGGGAGTTGAAAGTCCGTGTTGCCCAGTGACAGCCCCAAAACATCACTGCTCTAGAGGAGATCTGCATGGAGGAATGGGCCAAAATACCAGCAACAGTGTGTGAAAACGTTGTGAAGACTTACAGAAAACGTTTGACCTGTGTCATTGCCAACAAAGGGTATATAACAAAGTATTGAGAAACTTTTGTTATTGACCAAATACTTATTTTCCACCATAATTTGCAAATAAATTCATTAAAAATCCTACAATGTGATCTTCTGGAGAAAAAAAATCTCATTTTGTCTGTCATAGTTGACGTGTACCTATGATGAAAATTACAGGCCTCTCTCATCTTTTTAAGTGGGAGAACTTGCACAATTGGTGGCTGACTAAATACTTTTTTTCCCCACTGTAAGGGTTTGAAAGGATAAAGTGTCTGGTTTTATGTGTTGATTTTGCTTACTTTATAATAGAAGTATTTTGATATAACCTCCTTTGATAGTTTAAGCCATAATCTAATGCTTACCTTAACATTTTACAATAACTATCACAGAGCGATAAAAGGAGGGAGTGTGAAAGAAATGTTATGTTTGTGTGTATCAGATCGTACACAGATAGTATGTTTAGCATAAATGCTGCTTTTCTAATAACTAACTCGTTTGGGTTCATGCAAGTGACTGATTGATTGTGCATGGGAGGAATCCTCACTATCACTGTGTAAGCAATTTGGCAGTACGCCCAGAACATTGTTCTGGGTTCCAAAAGGAGTATCTCAGTTTCAAGGTCTCATCTTTGAGAAATGAAGCCTTGTGAGGTATTGGTCAGTCACATGTAAGAACCAGCGTTAATAATGAATAATGAGTCATGTAAATCATGCTTATATGTCTTGTTTGGGTAGCATTATATAAGGACTGATCCTCACCGGCCGTGATAATAAAGATTGATTCATTTACATTGCGTTTGAGTCCTTAGTGGTGAATTTCCACGACCCTTGCGTGCCATTATTGCAGGCTAGACTAGCCTAGACAATACTTAGAGGGAGATGGCAAAGACGTCTTCTGATTGGTCCATCTGTATTTGTTCAGGTTGGATTGCAGATTGAATCTTATAGCACCAAGTTCAAATCGGTTTATGCACATAGAATTTTCTAGTTTTTCATTTTTTAGCACTTAAAATGAACTTTTTCTAAAAACGAATTGCACAGACATATGAAGATCCATCTAAAGATCAATTATATACGACTAACACATTTTTGACAGAAATGTCAGATAGAACTAGGTCCAATATCTCGAACTGCTGATGCACAACCACATTTCGAAATTGCACCTGGTGTATTCTACTATTCTTACTCTCAATAGTAAGTTGAGACCCCGACTGAGTTCCCCCAAAAAAGGGGGTCGGGGGCGCCCTAGCAGCCGGGACCACTTATGCCTGGAACCGGCCCTGCACACACACACACACACACACACACACAGTTTTAGGATGAACAGGTAGCCTAATGCATGCAGCGACTTTAGCTGATGAATTTAAACTAATTTCCACCCAAATAAAGCTTAGACTGCACAGGGGAGATAGGGGAGATAGTCACACAAGATTAATTAAACAATTAAAATGAAATAAAGACGAAAGTATAAATCTTGCTTAAAAATAGCAAATAAATAAGATAGTTAATTAGACTGTTGTCTTTTTGTCCCTGAAGAGTGCATTCATTTCTCACTACACTTAATTGTTTTAAAAGTCCAATGCAGCCGTTGTTATCTCAATATCATATAATTTCTGGGTAACAATGAAGTACCTTACTGTGATTGTTTTCAATTAAAATGGTCAAAAAGATACAAAACTAGCTTCATGCAAAGCACAGTTTCTCAAGCAAGAATTTAGCTAGGGCTATCTGGGAGTGGTCTGAGTGGGGTGGGGAGGGAAAAACTGAAAACTAGCTGTTATCGGAAGAGAGGTAAGAAAATTAATATATTAACAATAAAAAAGATGTCACCCGGCAGGCCAAAACTCCATCCCACCAAAACAGGCTGAAATTTCAGGGGGTCTTTTTAAGCAGTTCTTACACTAAAAGGGCAATATCATAATTTTCACAATTTCACAGTATTATTCCAACCTCGTAGTGTGGAAATATAAAGCATTGGAAAAACGTATTTTGACTGCACTGGGCCTTTAATTGAAAATAGACAAGCACTTTCAAACAAATTCCCATTCTAAAGTCCCGTGTAGCTCAGTTGGTAGAGCATGGCGCTTGCAATGCCAGGGTTGTGGATTTGATTCCCACGGGGGACCAGTATGGAAGAAAAAAATAACATAATGAAAATATATGCACTCACTACTGTAAGTTGTGTCTACTAAAATGTAAAGCGTTGTAATAAAGCTTTGAGAGTCCTCACTGGGGTGGAAAATCACAATTTCTGCACGATTGGACAGAGAGAGAGGGAGATTCTCAATTGGACATAAGTCTGTCCTCTCCACTGTGACCCGGAAACCAATAAGTGGACGAGGACAAAGATGGTGGATAAATGAAGATAGTTCACTCAGGCCGTTTACCATAGATTTATTTGGTGCAATTTCCGGTCTACGGGTGTGTCATCCATAGACACCAATGCAATAACAGGGTCTGGTCTCCTTAGATCATTGACTTTCATTGAATCAGAAAAAAACTGTGATTCGGAAGTCTCACTTCCTCTTCCGTCTCTGGTTGAGAAGAGCGTCAATTAGTTAGTAGGCGAATGGAGGAGCCTTCTCCCACCGAGGAAGCTCAAGAGTATCCTACCTGAGTCCTTCGTGAAAAAGTTTTGAGATCCGCCACACCCCTTTTGAATCAGCTGTTGTTTACTCAGATGAGAAAAGCATGCACATATTTAAAAACGATACGCTACTTACCCGTTTATCTATTAAAGGTCTAGCACAACTAGCACATATTCTCTTTACTACATTACACATTTAATTTGGTACCCCACCCCTGTAAATGTCATTTGTCAAATGACACTGATATTGCCAATTACTTTAATTATTTTTTAATTGGCAAGATTAGCAACTTAGGCATGACATGCCATCAAGAAACGCTGACACTACACATCCAAGTATAACTGATCAAATTATGAAAAGAAAAGCATTGTAATTTTGAATACTGTAAAGTGAGTGTGGAAGAAGTGAAACATTTATTGTTGTCTATTAACAATGACAAGCCACCGGGGTCTGACAACTTGGATGGAAAATCACTGAGGATAATAGCGGACGATATTGCCACTCCTATTTGCCATATCTTCAATCTAAGCCTACTAGAAAGTGTGTGCCCTCAGGCCTGGAGGGAAGCAAAAGTAATTATGCTACCCAAGAATAGTTAACCCCCCTTTGCTGGCTCAAATAGCAGACCAATCAGCCTGTTACCAACCCTTAGTAAACTTTTTGAAAAAATTGTGTTTGACCAGATACATTTCTATTTTACTGTAAACAAATTGACAACAGACATTCAGTACGCTTATAGGGAAGGACATTCAACAAGCATGGCACTTACACAAATCACTGATGATTGGCTGACAGAAATTGATGATCAAAAGATTGTTTGGTGCTGTTTTTTAGACTTCAGTGCGGCTTTTGAAATTATCAATCATAGTCTGCTGATGGAAAAACGTATGTGTTATGGCCCTGCTATATTGTGGATAAAGAGTTACCTGTCTAACAGAACACAATGGGTGTTCTTTAATGGAAGCCTCTCCAACATAATCCAGGTAGATTCAGGAATTCCCTTACATGTTTCAATCTTTACTAATGACATGCCACTGGCCTTGAGTAAAGCCAGTGTGCCTATGTATGCGGATGACTCAACACTATACACGTCAGCTACTACAGCGAGTGAAATCACTGCAACACTTAAAGACCTGCAGTTAATTTTAGAATGGGTGGGAAGGAATAATTTAGTCCTAAATATTTAAAAAACTAAAAGCATTGTATTTGGGACAAATCATTCACTAAACCATAAACCTCAACTTAATCTTGTAACAAATAATGTGGAAATTGAGCAAGTTGAGGTGACTAAACTGCTTGGAGGAACCCTGGATTTTAAACTGTCATGGTCAAAACATGTAGATACAGCAGTAGCTAAGATGGGGAAAAGTCTGTCCATAATAAAGCGCTACTCTGCCTTTTTCACAACACTATCAACAAGGCAGGTCCTACAGGCCCTAGTTTTGTCGCACCTGGACTGCTGTTCAGTCATGTGGTCAGGTGCCACAAAGAGAGACCTTGGAAAATTACAATTGGCTTAGAACAGGGCAGTACGGCTGGCCCTTAAATGTTCACCGAGAGCTAACATTAATAATATGTACATTTCTCATTGCTTAAAGAAGAAGAGAGATTGACTTCATCACTACTTGTTTTTGTATTGTAAGTGTTGACATGCTGAATGCACTGATGTGTCTGTTTAAACTACTAGCACACAGCTCGGACACCCATGCATACCCCACAAGACATGCCACCAAAGGTCTCTTCACAATCCCCAAGTCAAGAACAGACTATCAGGTCATGTCATGTCTAGCTAGCTAGCTAAGTTACATTCAGGCGGATAGAAAGTACAAGTCAGGTGCGCTAAAACACAAGGAGCGAGAGAATAAGAAAAGTTGAACTGCATCCTGTGTTCCACTTACAACCTACTTCTCCTCATCGTCATCCTTGCAACAACCCAACCACGATGATGGCATGGAAAATCCAACCACTGCTGCTAGTGCTAGCTCTAGCCTGACAGTGACTATTGAGGCGTGTGTTGATGGAAGCATGGCCTCCGCGCTTGTGGCCATGAACAAAAATCTGTTTGAAGGCTTTCTATGTGCACTGCTGGACACACAACCTCAATTTAATTCTAATGGATGCTGCATGGGCCCTGTACTGCTTTTTGACTTCTAGCCTCCCAAGGTTTAAAATAGGAGGAACAGGAAAACATGCAGCTGGAGAGAGACGTTCTCACGCTGAAGAGCCTATCGAACACAAGGTGGGAAACCGGCAACAGAAGCGGTTATACAGAACCTGCCTGCAATCCGAATCCAAAGCGCTTTGAGCACCCTTATGCAGAGAATAATTTGCTTGCGCTTGCACGTTTCTACTCTATTTCCAAGCCTGTGGATGAGTTCAACTCTTTCCGCACAATGTATTCGATTTAGCCATGGATCTCAACACTGACGCAGTCCTTCCATTCCTCATTACCAATGACATACACTGAGAACATCCAAATCAGACCCTTTTCCATAGAATCTACAAAACCATTCCCATCATCAGGGCCAATTCCGAGCAAAGTTTCAGTGAAGCTGATCAATAGCTATTTGCATGCATGCGTGAGGCCAGACTATCCAACCTCACTTTGCTTTGTATTGAGCGGGACATAGACATTGACAAAGACAAAGTGGCAGGTTTGCCAACATTAAGGAGGATAATGTTTTAAAACGGGACCTTGACTTGTACATAGTTTGTTCACCTGTTAGAATTATTATTTTGTTGTATGGAATGCATGATGATGGAATTAACAAATGGACCATCGTGTTCGTGAGAGTCTCATCTTTCCATAGAGTGGTCATAATCGTTTGTAGGCCAAACTGTTCGGACGCTACAGATGATTTTGTGAGAAGATTTTTGGGATGTCTCATGGTCTGACAAACACCGCTCTAGCTCTGTCACCTTTCACCACATATGCCGAAGTGCGACATCGGGGGATGCGGTGGATTGAGACGCATCCAATGCAAAAAACAGATATCTCTATCTTAAACTGACAGATTTTTATGGGGATTTTTGTATTATGCTAATTAATTTTCCACGACATCGATTCTATGAGGTTAAAAATGATTTGGTCAGAAGAGCCACTCGAGACCACCCCATCTGTGCTGAGATCCTAGCTCCACGCCTGGGAGAGTTTCATTTCATTCAAGAGCATTTGGTTCCACATTTCCTCTCCTCCCCTCCTCTCCTCGGTTACCTTTGACCTTTTTCAAAAGGAGGCGAGGAGATGACTGAGGATGGAGGAGTTGAGCAAACCAATTGAGAATCTCCCAGAGTTAAAGAGAGACAGAGAGAGAGACAGAGAGAGAGACAGAGAGAGAGACAGAGAGAGAGACAGAGAGAGAGACAGAGAGAGAGAGAGAGACCATTCACATTCAAAACAGCCGACTGGCCAAAAACAAAGTGACACTGAATTTCAATAACTTCTTTCCCATTCTGCTTCAGCTGTTTGCGTTCAGTTTTTTTTTTCTTCTTTGTTTAACTAGGCAAGTCAGTTAAGAACAAATTCTTATTTACAATGACGGCCTACACCGGCCAACTCTGGGCCAAATGTGCGTCGCCCTATGGGACTCCCAATCACAGCCGGTTATGATAGAGCCTGGAATTGAACCAGGGGGTCTGTAGTGACGCCTCAAGCACTGAGATGCTGTGGCTTAGACCGCTGCACCACTCGGGAGCCACCCTATCCATGTGAGACAGAGTGTCTATGACATCCAAGATTATGCACCATGATCCGAAAACCAAAACTATAGAAGATATTAACACCACAATCGGAATGAGAAAACAAGTACACTGTTTGAGAAACTTAATTTGCTTGAGAAGCTTATGTGATAGCTTTAATTTAAACATAGACTCGAGTATCAGTCACTTTACATGTTTTAATGTCAACATGTCATTCTAGGTTAATCTAAAATATCTGAAACACTGGGAGCATCATAATGGTGTTATAAGCTGTTATAATGGTGTTTCATGGTCTTAATAATGTTGTAGCATGGTGTTTTTATCATTACTGTGTTGTCTGCGGCATTACTGTGGTTGCTAGGCTTAGGCCCCTTTATCACTGTAACCACAGAGACATGAAAGCATTTCAATGAAAGCAGTGCTGCTGACGTCACTACAACATTTACAAATGGCACATAACCACCCTGTATCACTGCTGTGCCCCGGGTTACCATCATTACTACAGGACTATGGCAGAGGACAGGATGAGTCCTCTAACCTGGTAGGAAGTACAGCTCTCTTAGCTACGGTCAAAGGCCAGGGGCTTATCTAACAGACTCCCACTGTCTCAGGTAACGATAGACACAATGACGAGGCTGGGTATGGTTAGGATAGAGTTATAGAAAGAAATAACAAAAGATCAGGGGTGAGTTTTTCAAAAAAACTTAGTTGGGGTCCTAGGCCTAGCTACATGGTCTGTAACCTGATTTAATGGGTGCATTTATGTGAGAAGTCAGAGTATGTGGACTCTGTTATATGAATGTGTCCGAAGAGACAGCAACCTTACCTGGGTCCAGGGCCATCTCCATCCTGACTCCCATGGGTCGGCCAGCCCAAGCAGATTATTAGTTCAAAATCGTGTCGAAAGTAAATATATACAAAAATAAACCACAAAAGCCGTGAACCAAAACTAAAAAGGTAACACAAAAACAAACAAACAAACGCAGACTGAGAGACTTCTGGCCACCTTTCTCTCAAGGATTGACGATCACCGTGATTGCCCGCACCTGTGTGCTTATCAAGGCCTGGCAAAGTACCTGGACCCGGTTGCTGCTGCCCTCTAGGAAATTAGGTGTGGTAATGGTAGTGTGCTGTATCTGTATGTGTTAACACTAAAAACTCACCCCCCCCTTCCCCCCCAACAAAAAAAGAAAAAAACTCACATTGTCACCAGTATCTATTTTCTTTCTATCTATTTCATTTTATTGGACCCCACATGGGTCCCAGACCTCAAGTTTGGGAACCACTGTACTACTAACCTCTCTCCCTGCTTGCTTCAAAGCTTCCTCTCTCTGTATATCTCATTTGCCTCCTTCATTGCAGCCTGTCTCAACACTGTCTGTCTCACTACTCTCTATAAAGAAAAGGTATTTTGTTGTGAGAACTTATAGTAACCCATAATTTGATTATAGCTTGCTTAATTTCAGTCAACTGTTCCTGCTGAGGTCAGGCTCTGTTCAATGTTAGAAGCTAACTTCATCCTTCTAGTCAGCTAGTTATAGCTACCTGGCTAATAGCCAGAGCCCTTGAGCTACCTAGCTAGACATCTGATTGAAATATCAGCGACTATTTACTCAGTTGCTACTTCCCCCTAGGGATAAGGTGTGGTATTGGAATGTGCAGTCTCTCTACGTGCTAACACTAAACTACCCCCCATCTTACCTGCGGGAAGTCGGGATGCTGAGGTTGCTGCAGCACCCTCTGAAAAATCAGATTAAAAAAGTATATATTAAATATACAAATAAAAAAAAAATGCACAACATTTGTGCACTGGGCCTTTAATAGTACTGTATTAGCGGACCGATATAGCAGTCTGCAGGGCCAGCATGGGCAAAGAAGACTTCTACAGCAACAAAAAACACTCAGCATCCCCACCCCCAAACTACTTGTCGCTATGACACTTTACCTAGATTTAGATATACTGTATGTATTCTGACAGCATATGGCATACCTCTTCAGCTCTGTGCCATCAGGTCAGAGTCATGGCTAGATTTCCCTGTTTCCTCTGTTTGTCTACCAGTTGGAGAGTGAGAGGCTGTGCTACGTGAACTCAGTGGGCAATACAATAATAGCATAGTATTCTTTGTGTAATAACACACACACGTCTCTGTTAGACATGGATGAACTGGAAGGAATGGCGGCCAAAGGAGGTGTTGGCTTTGGGGATGACCATTGAGATATACCTGCTGGAGCGCAGACTACGGGTGGGTGTTGCTATGGTGACCAATGAGCTAAGATAAGGTGGGGTTTTGCCTAGCAGAGATGTATAGATGACCTGGAGCCAGTGGGTTTGGCGACGAATATGTAGTGAGGGGCAACCAACGAGAGCGTAAAGGTCACAATGGTGGGTAGGGTATGGGGCTTTGGTGACAAAACGGATGGCACTGTGATAGACTACATCCAATTTGCTGAGTAGAGTGTTGGAGGCTATTTTGTACATGACATCGCCAAAGTCAAGGATCGGTAGGATAGTCAGTTCTACGAGGGCATGTTTGGCAGCATGAGTGAAGGAGGCTTTGTTGCAAAATAGGAAGCCGATTCTAGATTTAACTTTGGATTGGAGATGCTTAATGTGAGTCTGGAAGGAGAGTTAACCAGACACCTAGGTATTTGTAGTTGTCCACATATTCTAAGTCAGACCCGCCGAGAGTAGTGATTCTAGTCGGGCGGGAGGGTGCAAGCAGCGTTCGATTGAAGAGCATGCATTTAGTTTTACTAGCGTTTAAGAGCAGTTGGAGGCTACGGAAGGAGTGTTGTATGGCATTGAAGCTCGTTTGGAGGTTTGTTAACACAGTGTCCAATGAAGAGCCAAATGTATACAAAATGTTGTCGTCTGCGTAGAGGTGGATCTGAGAGTCACCAGCAGCAAGAGCGACATCATTGATTTACACAGAGAATAGAGTCGGCCTGAGAATTGAACCCTGTGGCACCCCCATAGAGACTGCCAGAGGTCCAGACAACAGGTCCTCCAATTTGACACATTGAACTCTATCTGAAAAGTAGTTGGTGAACCAGGCGAGGCAGTCATTTGAGAAACCAAGGCTGTTTAGTCTGCCAATAAGAATGCGGTGATTGACAGAGTCGAAAGCCTTGGCCAGGTCGATGAAGATGGCTGCACAGTACTCTCTTTTATCGATCGCGGTTATAATATTGTTTAGGACCTTGAGCGTGGCTGAGGTGCACCCATGACCAGCTCGGGAACCAGATTGCATAGCGGAGAAGGTATGGTGGGATTCGAAATGGTCGGTGATCTGTTTGTTAACTTGGCTTTCAAATACTTTCGAAAGGCAGGGCAGGATGGATATAGGTCTGTAACAGTTTGGATCAATAGTGTCACCCCCTTTGAAGAGGGGGATGACCGCGGCAGCTTTCCAATCTCTGGGGATCTCAGATGATACGAAAGAGAGGTTGAACGGGCTAGTAATAGGGGTTGCTACAAATTCGGCTGCTAATTTTAGAAAGAAAGGGTCCAGATTGTCCAGCCCAGCTGATTTGTAGGGGTCCAGACTCTGCAGCTCTTTCAGAACATCAGCTATCTGACAGAAAGTGTGACTTAATAGAGGAACAGATATCAGTTCTCTCTCTCTCTCTCTCTCTCTCTCTCTCTCTCTCTCTCTCCAATTGCTTTTATATCTGTCTCTACCTACCTCTCTCCATCCCCTCTCCTACCCCTTTCATTCTTTCTTTCTTTCTTTCTTTCTTTCTTTCTTTCTTTCTTTCTTTCTTTCTTTCTTTCTTTCTTTCTTTCTTTCTTTCTTTCTTTCTTTCTTTCTTTTCTCTTGCTCCCTCTCTCCCCCACTCTCTCTCATTCTCTCCCTTCCATCCTCACTCCTTCTCTCTGTTGCCATCTAATTGAAAGGCTGTTTTAAGGGCCTAATTGTCAGGATATGTTTACTCTCTCCCGCTGTAGACACGGTCAGCTCCCTCCCTGTAATATGAGAGAGATGAAGTGAAGACCTAATGATTAAAATAAGTGGGCTCTCATACACAGAGCGGTACACTACGCAGCCTTCTACCCTGCATGCTGATAAGTCACCTTGTCAGTGGATTTGGACAATGCCTGTTTAAGAAAACTGGGAGGATATTGATCGCTATTTATTAATGCTCTTGAACTTATGAATTCTTAAACTCAGGTGTGTGGTTTAGTTTGATGTACAATCTAAATAGTCATGAATGGCTAATTTGCATAATGTCAAGCTTAGCCTAGAGTGAATAGAATATTACTCGTTTTTATCTACAGTACAGTGAGGGAAAAAAGTATTTGATCCCCTGCTGATTTTGTATGTTTGCCCACTGACAAAGAAATTATCAGTCTATAATTTTAATGGTAGGTTTATTTGAACAGTGAGAGACAGAATAACAACAAAATAATCCAGAAAAACGCATGTCAAAAATGTTATAAATTGATTAGCATTTTAATGAGGGAAATAAGTATTTGACCCCCTCTCAATCAGAAAGATTTCTGGCTCCCATGTGTCTTTTATACAGGTAACGAGCTGAGATTAGGAGCACACTCTGAAAGGGAGTGCTCCTAATCTCAGTTTGTTACCTGTATAAAAGACACCTGTCCACAGAAGCAATCAATCCATCAGATTCCAAACTCTCCACCATAGCCAAGAGCTCTCCGAGGATGTCAGGGACACGATTGTAGACCTACACAAGGCTGGAGTGGGCTACAAGACCATCGCCAAGCAGCTTGGTGAGAAGGTGACAGTTGGTGCGATTATTCGCAAATGGAAGACACACAAATGAACTGTCAATCTCACTCGGCCTGGGGCTTCATGCAAGATCTCACCTCGTGAAGTTGCAATGATCATGAGAACGGTGAGTAATCAGCCCAGAACTACACAGGAGGATCTTGTCAATGATCTCAAGGCAGCTAGGACCATAGTCACCAAGAAAACAATTGGTAACACACTACGCCGTGAAGGACTGAAATCCTGCAGCGCCCGCAAGTTCCCCCTGCTCAAGAAAGCACATACACAGGCCCGTCTGAAGTTTGCCAATGAACATCTGAATGATTCAGAGGAGAACTGGGTGAAAGTGTTGTGGTCTGATGAGACCAAAATGGAGCTCTTTGGCATCAACTCAACTCGCCGTGTTTGGAGGAGGAGGAATGCTGCCTATGACCCCAAGAACACCATCCCCACTGTCAAACATGGAGGTGGAAACATTATGTTTTGGGGGTGTTTTTCTGCTAAGGGGACAGGACAACTTCACCGCATCAAAGGGACGATGGACGGGGCCATGTCCTTCAGCCAGGGCATTGAATATGGGTCGTGGATGGGTATTCCAGCATGACAATGACCCAAAACACACGGCCAAGTCAACAAAGGAGTGGCTCAAGAAGAAGCACATTAAGGTCCTGGAGTGGCTAAGCCAGTCTACAGACCTTAATCCCATAGAAAATCTGTGGAGGGAGCTGAAGGTTCGAGTTGCCAAACGTCAGCCTCGAAACCTTAATGGCTTGGAGAAGATCTGCAAAGAGGAGTGGGACAAAATCCCTCCTGAGATGTGTGCAAACCTGGTGGCTAACTACAAGAAACGTCTGACCTCTGTGATTGCCAACAAGGGTTTTGCCACCAAGTACTAAGTCATGTTTTGCAGAGGGGTCAAATATTATTTCCCTCATTAAAATGCTAATCAATTCATACATTTTTGACATACGTTTTCCTGGTTTGTTTTGTTGTTATTTTGTCTTTCACTGTTCAAATAAACCTACCATTACAATTATAGACTGATCATGTCTTTGTCAGTGGGCAAACGTACAAAATCAGCAGGGGATCAAAAACTTTTTTCCCTCACTGTATGTAGGACCTAAAAAGTAATTATCACAAGGAACACTACATCACCAAAAGTATGTGGACACCACTTCAAATTAGTGGATTTGGCTATTTCAGTCACACCCGTTGCTAACAGGTTCATAAAATTGAGCACACAGCCATTCAATCTCCACAGACAAACATTGGCACCGTCAAAGGATGCCACCTTTCCAACAAGTCAGTTCGTCAAATATCTGCCCTGCTAGAGCTGCCCCGGCCAACTGTAAGTGTTTTTATTGTGAAGTGGAAACGTCTAGGAGCAAACAACGGCTCAGCCGCGACGTGGTAGGCCACACAAGCTCACCGAATGGGATCGCTGTGTGCTGAAGCGCGTAGCGTGTATAAATCGTCTGTCCTCGGTTGGAACACTCACTACTGAGTTCCAAACTGCCACTGGAAGCAACGTCAACACAATGACTGTTGGTCTGGAGCTTCATGAAATGGGTTTCCATGGCCGAGTAGCAGCTCACAAGCCTAAGATCACCATGCACAATGCCAAGCGTCAGCTGGAGTGGTGTAAAACTTGTCGCCATTGGACTCTGGAGAAGTTGAAACACGTTCTCTGGTGTGATGAATTATGCTTCACCATCTGGCAGTCCGACGGACAAATCTGGGTTTGGCGGATGCCAGGAGAACAGTTACTGCCCCAATGCATAGTGCCAACTGTAAAGTTTGGTGGAGGAGGAATAATGGTCTGGGGCTGTTTTTCATGGTTCGGGCTAGGCCCCTTAGTTCCAGTGAAGGGAAATCTTAATGCTACAGCATACAATGACATTCTAGACGATTCTGTGCTTCCTTCTTTGTGGCAACAGTTTGGGGAAGGCCCTTTCCTGTTTTAGTATGACAATGCCCCCATGCATAAAGCGAGGTCCATACAGAAATGGTTTGTTGAGATTGGTGTGGAAGAACTTGACTGGCCTGCACAGAGCCCTGACCTCAACCCCATCGAACACCTTTGGGATGAATTGGAACGACGACTGCAAGCCAAGCCTAATCACCCAACATCAGTGCCTGACCTCACTAACGCTCTTGTGGCTGAATGGAAGCAAGTCCCCAAGCCGACTAGGTGAAAAGTCTGTCGATGTGCCCTTGAGCAAGGCACTTAACCCTAATTGCTCCTGTAAGTTGCTCTGGATAAGAGCGTCTGCTAAATTACTAAAATGTAAAATGTAAGTCCCCACAGCAATGTTCCAACATCTAGTTGAAAGCCTTCCCAGAAGAGTGACGGCTGTTACAGCAGCAAAGGGGGGACCAAGTCCATATTAATGGCCATGATTTTGGAATGAGATGTTCAAAAACCATGTGTCCACATACCTTTGGTCATGTAGAGTATATATATATTCTGGACTCTGACATTGCTCGTTCTGATATTTCTTGATTTCTTTCTTTACATTTGCGAGATTTGTGTGGATCATTTTGTATTGTTATGTCACGATCGTTTACGGACGAGACGGACCAAGGCGCAGCGTGAGATGCATTCATATTTATTAACGACTAAACACACGACAAAACAACAAACGAAACGGGAAGTCCAAGGTAGCATACACACAACATACCTTACACGGAACAAGATCCCACAACTAACAGGTGTCAAAAGGCTGCCTAAGTATGGTCCCCAATCAGAGACAATGAGCAACAGCTGCCTCTGATTGGGAACCACACAGGCCAACATAGATCTACACATTCTAGATCTTAAACATAGAGATAAACACAACACGAAATACACACACCCTGACTCAACAAATACGAGTCTCTAGAGTCAGGGCGTGACCGTACCCCCCCCCAAAGGTGCGGACTCCGACCGCGCCACATAAACATAACAGGGTAGGGGCCGGGTGGGCATTCCGCCTCGGAGGCGAATCCGGCTCCGGGCGTGACCACCACTTACTCTCCACCTCCCTGTTGCGCCCCTGGTCTGGTCTGGACCTCGGCGCACTGCTTCCCCTCTCCTTCCTCCCACGACGTACCAAGCCCTGTCTGGACCCTGGTGTGGGAGACCCCGAACCTGGAGAGGGGCTGACGTCTGGGTCTGGACTGGAACCGCTGACTGGAGCTGGACCCGACGACGGTGGATCGAACTGCTCTGGCTCCGGAGTGGAACCGCTGACCGGAGTTGGATCAGGCACCGGTGGAGCGGACTGCTCTGGCTCCGGAGTGGATCCGCTGACCGGAGTTGGACTGGACCCCGGTGGAGTGGATTGCTCTGGCTCCGGAGTGGAGCAGCTGACCGGTGCCGGACCAGGCACCGGTGGAACAGGCACGGGCCGTGCCGGACTGGACACACGCACCACTGGCTTGGTGCGGGGAGCAGGATCGGCCCGTGCCGGACTGGACACACGCACCACTGGCTTGGTGCGGGGAGCAGGAACGGGCCAGAACGGGCTGACGATGCGCACCACAGGCTTGGTGCGGGGAGCAGGAACGGGCCGTACCGGACTGGCGACGCGCACCACTGGCTTGGTGCGAGGGACAGGAACAGGCCGGACCGGGCTGGCGACGCGCACCACTGCCTTGGTGCGAGGGGCACGAACAGGCTGGGCCGGGCTGGCGATGCGCACCACAGGCTTGGTGCGAGGGGCAGGAACAGGCCGGACCGGGCTGGCGACGCACACCACTGGCTTGGTGCGAGGGGCAGGAACAGGCCGGGCTGGCGACGCGCACCACAGGCTTGGTGCGAGGGGCAGGAACAGGCCCGGCTGGGCTGGCGTCGTGCACCACAGGCTTGGTGCGAGGGACAGGAACAGGCCGGACCGGGCTGGCGACGCGCACCACTGGCTAGGTGCGAGGGACAGGAACAGGCCGGACCGGGCTGGCGACGCGCACCACTGGTTTGGTGCGAGGGACAGGAACAGGCCG